CGGGCATCCCACCTGACGAGATTCTCTCTTGTTCAACCATATTCTGAAACAAGAGCCCGAACTTACCTTTACGGCAGGTTTTAAGGAGCTTTGCGGCTATTTCACGATCTAACCGTGGGAAACGCTTGTCCGCGATGAGTTCTTGCTCGGTGGAGGACATGCATGCTTGGGCCCACTGGTAAACTTCATCTCCGGGGGTCTTCTGGAGTCGACCGATGGCCATCAAAACTTGGTTGACGAAACCTCTAGCCTGTCCAGCGTTCTCCGGAGGGGATGGCAACACGAGATCCTTGAGGTCCTTGACGCGAACAACGGATTCCTCATGCGTGGCGTGATCGGTGGCGGTCATGCCTACACTAGGATCGGCAGCTTGAGACGGGTCCGCATTGGGGAACTGGCCAGGGCCTCCCCCACCTCCCCCACCACCATTCATGGTGAGGTATGGGCAATCCGTGTCTTCATGGCTGCCGCCGCAAACTCGACATTGTGGGGTATCATCATCTCCATCAGAGTCTGATGATGTGTCGGAGCTTGCTGCCGATGGCGCTTGTGGGGATGACGAGTATAACCCTCCCAACATTGTGATTGGTACTGGCGGAACATGAGTGCCATTGCCAGCTTTCGGCGGAGGCGGCGCCCCAGAAAGGGGCATGGGAGGCACTGGAGGTGGTGCGGCCGGAGGCGGAGGTGGCGGAGCCACTTGATTAGCAACCAATTGGGAAAGCTGCTGAACCATTTCCGCTAAAGCCGTCACTTGCACTCTCACATCGGCTTGATCCCTTGGACCGTCTCTACCCAACCCGCTAGTCCTCGACGCGCCGGGGGCTGCGTCTCCAACAGAGGACGCTGCTCCTAGCACTGCCGAATGGCCTACGAGATGTTGACTTGTTGCACCCCCACCAGGGTCCCTTGAATCAGCTGGGGCATCGTGACCAAGTCCTGTACTTTGAACAGAACCACACGGAGGGTCGGGGATAGTACTTGTAAAAGCATTCCCTTGCGACGATGCGGCAACACCGGAGGCATCTTGTGAACCTGAAACCTGAGGTGCTCCAACCGGCTGATGGGTTCCTGGGGGAACTGTGCCTTGACTTGAGGCTTTAGCCGCGCTTGTTTCCGTAGCTGTTTCGGCTATTGATGCGGCTTTTGGCGGGGACTCTTGCATCGGAACAGGGGTCGCACGAGCTTGTTGGGTGAGCTGCGCAACAACACGTTCGAGATCACCAAGTCGTTGATGCATCACAGAATTTTCCTGGGACAATCCACGAATGGTATGCTCTTGACTGGCAATGGTTTGCTCCCTTTGTAGGATTGCCTGTTGAGCCTCTTGAACAATGCGTTGAACCTCTTGCTGAGCGTCCTGTTGAGTGGCATTAACAACCTGTCGTGCGTTCTCGACATGGCCTAAGGCTTCCTGTCGTGTCTGCTCAATGAGTTGCCTAGCCTGAGCCTCACTTTGTTGTGCTGTTTGTACAGCCTGCTGTGCTTGCGAAGCTAGCTGAGCGGCCTGAACCCTAACGTCTGAAACTTCTCTTACAGCCCTTTCCCTGATCCATCCGGCCTCTTGTCTCGCCTGATCGGCGGCCTGCTGTTGGTGCAAGGCGTGATTGGCTGCCTGAGCAGCGAGGTCGGATGCTCGATGAGCTTGCTGCACCGCAGCTCCAGCTATAAATGCCGCAGCGGGTACGTTAGTCATCGGGTCAGGTAATTGCGATCCCTGTGAAGGAAACTGAATGGCTGGGGAAGCTTCGGATGATGTCGGTTCTGACACGATCGGACCACTCGGGGGTGATGATGGTCGTGTTTGGGCTGCTCGTTGAGGTGTGGATGTGCGAACTGTGGACATAACTGCAGGAACCATGGCTAAGTCAGGGTCATCCGGTTCAGAATCCCTATTTGGGGTTGACCTTGAACGGGGTTCTGATGGCGGTGATAAGCCCGTTGAAGCCATGACACAGCAATGCAACTTTTGCACTCACACGAAGCTAGCTCCACGCGCTTTGAGCAGCGTGTCAAAAGGTGCTACGAGGAGATATCCCTGGATTGGCAGCTGGTTGCGAAACGCTCAAGTGAGCCACTCAAGAAAATACGTTGCGATACGCTCAAGTGAGCCACTCAAGAAAATACGCCCTGCTGCTTTGCACCTGATGAATTCTGTATTTGTAATTGTACTTGTAGATTGATTGATCCGCACTGCCGCACTATGGTGCTTTATCGAGGGATGTTGCCAAGCTGTATTGAGAATTTGTCTGCAAATCGAATGCCTGTAACTGCAAAAGCTGTACCGCGCAAAGCGACGGTTTTAACGGCTTGCAACAATGGCTATCGAAGTACCCGGCTGGCGGGTAACTGGGATGCAGATCGGTGAAGCTCCTCGAGGTACTGCGATGGATGCAGGCCCCTTGCCGCCGGAATGAATTGTCTGTTCCGGGATTCAATGAACTCACCGAGGTTCTCAAGTGCGTTGGCAAATCCTCCCGGCCCGAAGTGCGGGAAGTTGCGGAACGCCGCGATGCCTGTCTTTTGAGCTTCACGGACAATCGATGCTGTATCGTCAATAAGGGCGTGAACGCCCAGCCCTTGAAGGGCGTCTGCTTTGCCTCCCCTACCCAACCGTTCGTGAACGATTTTTATCGCAGAAAAAGTGAGTCCAGATGTCGTCCGCGCGTGCTCCAGGGCGACCTGGAATTCGCGGCGGCGATACTCGCTTGCAGCCCTGCCCACGAAGGAAAGCACTATAAAATTTATAGGTGCGTAGTCCGCTGCAAACTGAACGAGATGTCGGATCACTTCCGGGTTGAGGTGGGGCCCCTGCTGCCCAACGTCAAGAACTCCGTGCCAGTCAAGAGCAACAACAAGCTCCTTGGGCGGCACCGGCCTTCCAGGCGGAGGTGGTGGCGGCGGGGGCGCAGGCGGTGCCCTCCTTGGTGGCGAGCGGAATCGCGAGCCAGCTTCGGAAGTTGCAGCGCTAGCAGCAGCTGCTTGAACGACCTGCGGAGGTGGCGGCTTGACGATGTGCCCGAATTGTGGCGGGTTTGAGCTCGATTTGCTTCTGGGTTCGGCCTTGTTCAAACCTCGCGGAGGCGCCTTGTACCCGAATGCACTCTGAGTCCGAACAGGAGATCTGGCCCTTGGCGGTGACTTCCTCGGAATGTCTGCCTTTGCCGGCACTGAAGAAACTGCCTTGGGGATCTCCTTGGGCAACGGAGGCTTGCTGCCAAAGATGACCTTGGGTGCGGCCTTTGGAGGCGGCGGTTGAACTGCCCCAATTCTTCGGCTGTGCAGCGCGATGGGCTCGGAGTGAGTCGGCACCTCGTAAACGCGCCGAGGCACGTATGCAGCCCTGCCCGTCTTGATGGACTCCGCGTCTTGCGGTGGGTCCTCGTCCGAGCTGTAGGCGTCGAGGCGGAAGTGCTCCGCCGGCGCCGGGCGACGGTCGGGAGACCGTGAGCGCGAGCTCGTGGAGGACCTTCTTGGGGGGTCCCTCCACGTCTCGTCCGCGAGCAGGTAAGGGTCGGCTTGGCGAAGCTGCCCAGACGTGCGTTGTGCTCGCCGATGAGGTGCCGCTTCACGTGGCTGTGAAGCCTCCCGAACCAGTACCCAGGTGCCGTGTTCGTCAAACCTGGTCACAGGGTACATGCTATTCTGCGGAGCCAATACGATGGGCCGTGTGGCTAGGGAAGTTCTGGATGGCCTTCCCTCCCGCGCAAGCGCGGGTTCAACACTATGGGCCCGTTGTTCCACAGGGGCAGCAGCAGTTGGTCCTCGTCTCGGAGTCGATGATGGAGACCTCGACCTTCGGGGCGATGGGGACCTCGATCTTTGTGTTGACCGTTCCCTGCTGCTCTCCCGCCGCGTTTCCGCAGCTTTAGCGTATACCCCGCGAAGAGTTGACTTTGCGGCTTGTCTTTCCTCTGCAGATGGCCGAATACGAGGCAAAGGAGTGCGCGAGTCTTGCAACCAGGAGGAAGCTGATGGAGGCGTCGGAGGACGAAGCCAGTCCGCTGCACTGCTCGATGCTCCCGCCGCGCCTGAGGCTGCGGCTTGATCCTGAGATGGCACACCTTGCGGCAAGACCACTCCTGTGGTTTCAACCAATGCGAGACGCTGCTGATAAGCGTTGTCCGCGGCCTGGATCACGTCGAAGGCTTCTTGGTCAAAATTCCACAGGTGCCAACTATCCAGTGACTCACGCCAGGAAAAGAGCGCCTCGACCTGTTGCTTCGAGGCGTCCGCAAACCTGATCCACCGGAATCGTCTGTTCTGCCGCTTGTACTCGTCGACGACGATCTGTTGCAGAGTGTTGTACAATCGGGCACGCGGCCCTTTCCCACCGCGTGTGCCGCGGTGAGGGCCGACTTCCATGTGCGACCAACAGGTCGCAGTCACGGAAGGGTTTGTTTACCCGAAAAGCGTTACGGCTGATAACCACTCAAAGGAGAGGGAAACACAGTTTTGTCAACAACGGGGGAACCCGGGACCTTAAAAGGAACGAACCCCTCCGTGACTGCGACCTCTCCCTTAACCTTGGGGCTAGCGCGGTGCAACGCGCTGTTTTCAGCACTTGAGCCAAAGCAGTGATTGAATCATGCTTTGGCAATGACTTGAATGTACAACATGCAACTGACTACATGGGAACCTACCTCATGTACCTCTGGGCCATAAATGTCATCGTGATAATTGACTTGTGTAACTCGAGTGAGACGCTTCAACATACCCTTCAAGCATCCGATCCTTACGTGCGGATTCCTTTCATAGGGGTTGCAGGGTATGCTCTCAAAGGGGACCCCCTCAACAACAAGAGGGCAACTTTCCCTTGGGATGCCCTTCAAACAAGCAACACCATCTACCCCACCACAAAAGAGATTGAGTGAAATGCAGCTTACTGCTCCTTGAAAAGAAGAGGGGGATGGGCCCCAAACAAACCTGCAGAGAGCCCCTCGCCCGGCTCCATCACCTCCAACTTTTTTTTGCGCGACCAACAGCTGGGCAGCCCCGACGGCCAAAGTAGTTAGCGCCTGAGCTCACCCGCAAACACGCGCAAGAATGGGGTAGCCAACAAACACCGCAGCCCAAACAGCGTCCTCCAGGGGTTCCCCTTCAAAAGTTGATCAATTTACCGGTGTCCATTCAAGCGATCGCCACGTTTTGAGGTTCCAAAAAGGGAAATGGAGGGAATACTGTCCTCGAAATCATAAACATGGATTCCCGTCACGCAGAGCCAAATTCAAACCAGCGCCTTCAAATTGCTACCTTCAAAGACATTTCAAAGAGGGCGCTCTTCTCAATTGGCAGTAGGCTGCGGTGGCTGTCGCAGAATCCGGCGACCCGTTGCCGCAATGGTTGCATTCGCGCTTCCCCACAACCATTAAGCTTCCCTGTAATTTGTGGTTTGGAGTTTTAGGGGTGGTTTCCCATTTCCTCCAGAAGAACCAGGGGGTCCAAATCCCCAAACACATCCAAACCAATGAAGGGGTACCTGAACCAGACCATAGGCCATAGGATCCGGCTCGCTGACCAAAAAACTGATCCAGGAGATCAGAAGTGCACGTGTGGCTGCCGAAAGATTGGGAAGACATGAAGCCAGGGAATCGAGAAACCAACAAACTGGGTTTAGAAGCTTCCGGAAGCCGACTTTTCTCCAAGCCGTAGATCAACATGGCCCTTGCGAGGTCACTTCTTTGGGCTCCATGTTGGTTAGGTGACCAGCCCAAACTGAGCCATGAGCTTGCTTGGCACAGGTAGCAACAAATCGCGCTGCTTGGCTTCCCTTTTTTGCCAGTCACGAATAGATCCCCATACCAGAGAAAATGCGACCTACAACATGCCGCTCTGGATGGTTGCCCCGTGCGTTCTTTTTGAATGGGGGATACCGAAATCGAACGACCTGGATTCCCGGCAGCTGCCGACATCCAGCAACCTCACCTTGTCTGGAAGCTCCTGCGAAAGAGAAATGCGCCGATTTTTGTTGTATGTGTCACATTGGGCGGGGAGGGGGGGGGGGGGCGGGGAGAAAATGACGGTTATCCTTTTATTTTTTTAGAATCTCCATCAATACTTACAAAATTATAATCTCCATCAATTATCATTATTTTATTAATTGTGTTCGCCCTTCCAAAAAAGGTGCCGGCTCCTTCCCGCCAAGCTTCTCAGCCTTCATGCCTCTATTCCAAGTTTTGCTCCCTCCAGCCAAGCCTCAATATTCCCCTAAGCCTCGCTACGTCTCCAAGAGCCCCTATGCCTCACTGCCGCAGCTATGCCGAGGCCCAAAAATGCGCCGTACTTAACAAAGAAGAAAACTTCAGCTGACCCTGAATCAGCGGCTTGGAATGTTGTTTGGAGTTTGGAGGGGCGGACTCTCACTCAACTCCCGGAAGCTACGGCAGGTTTCAACTCCTCGACCTGAGGGTTGAAGATTAAAGACTGAAAACACGAAGAACAACCTACCAAACCCAGGAAATCACAGCACTTGAAATTCAAGCTACCCACCTGGCCTCCGCAAGCTGGCGACATGCCGCAGGCCCCTGACAGTCTGAAAGCCCATAGACGCGGAAGCCCTAGCTGACTAGTAGGGGGCGCCCCGCTGGCAGCGGTGATCACAGGGGATTCACCCCTAAGCACGCTGCCCCCTTTTAGTGATGCGGCGTCGCCTAGTAGGCGGGGAACACCTATTGATTGGACGGGTTATACTTGCATTTGGGGTCACTAGGGCCGAAGTTTGGGTCGAGGCCAACTTGCGCCTCGAAACTCAGCAAATTTTGAGCCACGCCCCAAGTTTGACTATATAAATGAGCAACCAGAAATCGGACACATGATTCTTTGGCGCAAGCAGCGGCGACTTCCATTTCAATCCTTTGAAGGGGCCACCTGGAGAATATCCGGGATGGGGTTGCGACGTGCGCGAGCCATGAGACGCTGCACCAAGCTGTGCACCCCGCAGCATAACCGCTTCAAGGGCTGAAGCTAAAATTGGTGTCCAAAGCCAGGCCGACTTGCCAACTCTGTTGCATGCCAGACTCGTTGATCGCACTGAGATTGTTGAAGGGTCCCGAAGCCAAATGTGGTTTTTGAGGCTATCCTTTCCACCTCAGCTGAAACGGAACATAAGGAAAACCACATCTTTGGTTCGCCCTATGTGGAGAAATGCTGATAACATTACTTCAAACGGCGCAAAAGAAGGCCGAAACCTGAGCCGGAGACTTGAACCGGGGTAAGACGCCCACCCCCAGCTTATCCCCAGCCCTGCCACACGAAAAGACCCAAAGCCGAGTGCTGAGGCGCTCACCTGCATCGAAAACCCCGGCTGAGGATTAAAACCGAAGGGACGGACCGCATATACCAAGGATAACTTGAAGCTACTCCATGCGTGTAAAATGGGGGGGGGGTCCGGAACAGCCACGATCTTCTTTGGCTTCCTATGGAATTTCGACATAGGAAACCCAACTGTGGCTCGAAATTGAGCTCCACGAAGGGGACAAACCCCGTTTTGGGACCTCCAAACGTCTGAGGCCGAGCTCAGAGCGAAAGGTTGCGAGGCCTGTGGAAGACATCGGTCCGATCCACGTTCCAAGCGCAGCGCACCGGAAATGACCGTCTCCTCCAGCCAGGTACGGGGGTCCAACTTGAAAGAAACATGTGGCTAACCCTCCAACTCGTGGAAGTGGACAGGGGACTCTCACAAAAGGAAAGTAGCTCATGAAAGACCTCGTGTCAGCTTGCGTCAGTGGAGGAATGGTAAACCACCTTTTTGTGGTGATTTTGCGCATGTCGCTTTAATAAACCCTGACTAGGCAGCACGTCTAGATTTTGCCCTTGTTCTGCTTAGTTGCTTCGACAACTTGTCCTTCGGCTCCCGACTCCCAACTCTCACAAGAAGTACGTCGACTCCAGCCCTTGCCCCAAAAGGCGAGAGATGAATTCCCCTAAGTCTATACATGGAGTCCACTACCCCCAAACACTACCCCCAAAGATTCTAACACGATGTGCAACCACTGCATATTTGTTATTAATATATAGGCTGGATGCAAAAGGAGGCAAAATACAAGTATGATAGTTCCTGCGCGAATACCCTCCGAGTACCCTGCGTGCAAGTGTGCGAGTGGAACGGACGAGTGGACGAGTGACTCGAACACTCGCGCGCCCTACTCGCACACATGCACTCGCACAGTTGCTTTTTCTTTTTTTCTCCGGGCTTATGTTTGGCTCAGGAATGCTACTTGAATGAATTTGCATGTCAAAAACAAGGTCTAACAAAAAAAACATGATTCTGCGCGAGTGAAAAGAGTAGTGCTCGAGAGTGTTCGAGTCACCCGTCCACTCGTCCGCTCGCTCGCCCGTTCTACTCGCACACTCGCACACACTACTAGGTAAGGGCCTTCAGCCCAAAAACATAATATACACGCATGGTTGCAAGAAGACCTATGTCGAAGCAAACCGAGAACACCGCCCCCAGGCTCGGCCCCCCTTTGAGTCGCCGGCGCGCGGTCTGTCCCCTCTAGAGCCGTAAACCCACCGCTGGCGCACCTGGCGTTCCAAGTAGCTGAAATGCGCCTGGCTTCGCCTCCTCAACTGAACCTACCTGGCAGGGCTTTTTCTGTTTTATCCTCCCCAACATTGAGCCCAAAATGGCAACATTGCGGTTTCCTTTTGGCTTGGGTGGGAAAAGAAAAGTTTTCACATGGCAAAATCATTTCTTTCAAGGAGACCAGTCTTTTCGCCCTTCGGCCGAAGAACAGCGCAGCTTGCAGTGGCTGTAAGCAAAAAAACGACTCCTTGCCCGTGAGTCCTACCAGCTGTTTGCCCCATCCACGCCAGCATGAACTCTCTGCTCCGAATTTCTGCACAAAACCAGAGAAGCCTGGAAAGCTCTAAACAGCATATATAATGTTTGGGAGTAAGGGTTCCGCAAGTCCGAAGGGCGCACCTTACGATCCAGGAGGTAGTAGTAAATGATGGCCTCGGGTGGAACAAAGCTCGGCGCAGCGCCTGAAGGTGGCAGCTGCAAATTGCACAAACAAAATCCGTCACAACCCGAAGCTCTGCTCAAAGGATCTGGAGAAAGGTTCATCTTATGGGGCCATGACCAACAGACCAGAAAGGAAATCTCAAAAAGGTTCAAAGGTCGGCTTCGGACACGTGAGGAAATAGTGCAGCCCGGGAATCCAAAGAAGTCTACCCTTGTGGTGTCAGTCTCAGAGCAACCCTGTTAAGCATCACGATCTCCTCTACGAAGAACCTCTTGGCCCAAGCCGGCCACTAAGTCACCAGCCTCTGCGCACCACTCGTGGAAGGCCACATTCCACCTGCCAGGCTGCAACAATTGTATGTTTCCGAAGGCATGCCCTTGGGTTGACGCTTCGTAGGGAACCTGAAGCGAAAAGACACAATGGGCCCTGCCATTTGCTGAAACGCCAACATGAAGCCCCAGACCCTTTCGCATCACCACGAGGAAAATTCATTTCAAAATGGTGTGTAAACCATCTGAGTTCAAAAGGGAAATGTAGGGTGGGAACACAGGCCATGCCTCTTTCGCATGTTCTCCAGCGCCGCGTCGCGATATGCCGCCGCCAGCTCCGCATTGGGACTGCGAGAAACGTCGAGAACGTTCCCTTCTCTCTTGCTATCAAAGTGAAAGAGGTTTAAATGAGTTTGCCTTGTGTTGAGGGAACTGCTTTGATGGAAACCAAGGGAAACGGCTCATTGTCACAGGTTCTGCTTGGATCTTGCAAAAAAAGCAAAACCTCGAATAAGGGCGCTTTCTGTGTAAACCAAGACTAAGCCAATTCAACAATCCAAAAACATGTCACTGACTTCTGCGGTTCAAATTCCTTATCTGCTGGGAAATTGCCGTGTTGCGCGTAATCTTTCGCCTGGCCATAATAATGAACATGTTTTTCTCGGAGAGCATTTTCTTAATCAGGGGGCCGGGGTGTTCTTCAGGGGGGACGGATTGATTTGTTGAAGTACGATCGACTCGATGTAAAAGCAATTGGTTCCCAGGTTCATTCACCCGTCCTCTTTGGTTTCCTTTTGGGGCAACTCGACGTGTGCCACTGGTATCTTCCCAAATCAACATGGGCCCGCAAAAGGAGCTTCCTCTTCAGGTTTCTTCCCCAAGGGTCGCTGCCCAGAAATCGGCTCGCTCGGGGTTTGGGGCAGCTTGGGGTTGGCTTCCAGAAAGGCTCCCTTTGAACTGTTGGTGCTTGGCTTCTTGGGTTCCAGGTCCGGGGGAGTAAGGAGTACCCATGAACCTCACGGCTCGGCTTGCGAATTTTCGGGCTCTCACGCCTCCGGGTTCGGAGAACCTGGAACGAGTCCGGCCGACGTTTTCCATTATGCGCAGGGTTTATGCAGACGCCATCTAGCCCACAAGTAGTTTATGTTCAAATGGCACAGGTGTGTAGGTTGGTCAAAAATAGATGGGTTCTACTGATTTCGGCTTGTGCTAACTATTTTCCACTGTCATGGATTTGGTTTTCGAAAGGACACCTAGGAGTTGGGCAAATGCATGTTTTGTCCCTGTCGGGTCCCCGAAACTCCGGCCATGTCTTTTGAAGGATTCACGTAAAGCAGCGCTGTGAAGACGAAACGTGTGTTTTGCATGAGGTTCTTGGGGATTTCCCCGCCTTCCTCCACCTCCATAAGTTTCATTTGCCTTATGCTTAGCAAATTCGAAGCCATGGGGAAAGGTCGCTTCTCAGGAGGATGTGGAATTCATCTTCTCTTACTCCAAGGCCGGCGGAGCCCGGACTCGAATACTGGTGGAATGATACAGTACCAGATTTCAAAGGAGGGGTGGCCCATGTAGCAGGGGGCAACAGATCCTTGGCGAATCTGCCGGGTGCTTAAATCTGTCAACATTCAAAAGAGCACTGGACAAATTCTTGGCTTTCGGTGGTTGGACGTGTGGGCCTCGCATTCGCACCCGCCCGTTCCCAGCCAAGGGACATGGACCTGGAGCCAGGGAAGCTGCTCCGAAGGGAGCTGGAGCTATGCTTCTCCAATCTCCTCACTCCCTGCCAGCCCTGCTTAAAAGCTGCAAGGCGCTTGCAAAAGAAAATCATCCGACGCACACAAACCGAATTATGTCCACGATGTGGCCTTCTCTGCAATACTATCTCGAGCCATCCCCATGACGCGGTGTACTACTTTTACGGGGGGTAAATACCAGGCTAAAACATATCCGCAAATAGCCAGCCCCACCTACTCACTCTCTGAGCGGAATCGCCAAAATTAAATCCAAACTTCCTGTTTGCCACCCGAACCCTAATTACACCCAAACCTCTCATGCCCCCTCAAAACCCCACCCTAAACCTAAACCCCAACCAACCCACCCCCAAACCCAAAGCCACGCCGCCCAACGGGCAAGCGCCTGCTCGTGCAGGCTGCCAAAGCTCCGGCTCAGACGCCGCAGCCGCCGCTTCTCCGCCACGGCCTCCCAGCAAAAACCCTTTTCTCAGTTTCAATGCCTTCCCCTTGCAGGTCAGAAGCCGTTTGCTGGTCTATATGCGCGGAAAAAACAAACCCAACGCTTTACCTTCATTTGCGTTAAAACGTCCCCTGGAGAAAGGGTCTTGCAAGGGGAGACTTAAAGAGAAACCATTCCTTGTTCTTCCGCTTCAGCATTTACAATGTCCACTGGAAAAAAAAGGATGAGACACATGCCAGTAGTGGAATCGATTGCAGGGGGAAAATAAACAACATCTCAAGCAAATGGACGTCAACATTCTGTTCTGCTGGCGGGCTTTTGGGGATTTATCTCTGTTAGCACTTGATCTTAAAGCAGGGGTGGTATGGATTCCCGGTGAAACTAATGGACTTGTCTTCGGACGAATTTGGCGACACATGATCACTTCACCCGGGCGTGAGTGTTCCCTTTCGATCCCTCGAAGTGGCAGGACTCCAGGCATGTTGCAGCAAATCTGTCAGAGTCATTCTCAAAGCCCGGTACTAAAATGAAAAGGCGGATTCTTTTTGTTTTGTACCGCATTCTCTGAGGGCCATGCTCGTCCTGCGAAGGCGGGTCTCTGCACCCATGTATGGCCTTTGGTTTCAGAATAGCCTGTGTCTGCCCAAACATGAAGTGTCAACCCATCGAAACACACTGCACACACACGCACATGTACGCACAACTTATAAACCATCTATGTACTCACAAATTATTGCATGTTGGAAGCAGTAACTTGACGGCCAAAACCAAAGCACCAAATCGATGTGTCATGGTAGGAGTACCCCAAAATACCCCAAGAAGTGGTTTCCCTTCGGTTTCCCCTTAAAACCATGCTGAAAAGGGTGCCCCCAAACAGCACACACACACACACCCAAATCCGCTCGATTTGCTTCGGGCAATGCACAGCATCAGTGATGCCTCCTCCACGAAGTGCCGCAAACTGCCAGCCTTCGCCGACTGGTCGCTTTCCGATTGAATTAATACAAGGTGATCACCTTTTGGGTTGCCACTAAACGGGATCTCAAAAGTGGGAAAACCAAAAGGCGATTCACTTAGGGCAACTGAGCTAAACGTCCTTGCACAGCGCATATAGTTGTGTATATGAGACATGTATGCATACGCACTTGAGTGGATGGGTCACAAAAAAGCCTTGGAACCGATTTATTTGCCACTCACCCAAACGGTCTTCCCGAAAAGCTTCAAGTCCAGGAACTCAGGGAATGAGTACCTGCTTGGCGGGCGGTACTCTTGCTAAACACCCGATTGTTGCGGTTGAGGAGGCACAAACTCATAAAACACGCAACATTGCATCCCTAGTACGTGAGTGTCCAAGCCCATCCCGCGCACTGGTTCCGCTTGACGGGGTAGTCCTAGTGCCTTGGTCCAAATGAGGGGTACTCCCAAATAGTACTTGTTGATTCTGTTTGCGATTCATATCCCCTAAAATAGGTACTTCCATAGTATGTGTTGATTCTGTTTCATATTTAATTCTTCTCCCCTAAAGTATGTAGTATGAAGCAGTTTTTTGGAGAACCATCAGCACGGCCGGACGCCAATGGCCGCCAGCTTAAACCAGATTGCACACAAAAAGGTATTTGGATGCTACATAAGATATCAAACCTTCCGTTGTCTTGGCGCCTGAAGCGTCGGTCTTCACACTCTGTAGCTTGGCTCCGTGCTTCCTCTTGCACTCATTAAGTTTGTGTGGGGTGCAAAAGCCACCGGCAAAAACACGTAACATTTGGAGACCTGCGTGACGCTGACCCCTCTGACTCCTGACTAGAGTCATCTAGAGGCGGCAGCTATCAATACCCCCCAGAAACACACACAAACAATGATACTGTGGACGCAGCACTGTTCAGAAAACCCGGTTTCTGATGATTCCCCTGAACATACTAACAATGTTTCCCCCAGCACCGTTCAGAAACCCGGGCTTCTGATGGCTTGAAGCCCACATGGGTGTCTCTACTTTTTTGAGAGAACCCTTTTTGGGGCCTTTTCAAAGGCAAACCAAAAGGAAACCTAAACGAAGACACAGCCACATGGGTGCAGGTTCTGGGGGAAAAGGTAAGCCGTGCGACTCCGCATCCCATTTTTCGACCCGTTTCGTCCGCCTTGACTGCTGCAGGTAAGGCTTCCAAACGCTGCAGGTCATCCAGCAGAAACCGGCTCAGGTTCAGCAACGCCTGCCACTTCAAGGTCAGAGTTTGCTGGTCTTCCTTTTGGGCGATTTCACCAGGCTTGCTCACCACTTACTTGACGTACCAGAAACTTGAGAACGTGCTTTTTAGGGAGGCACGCTTGCGTGTCCCTTGCCAGCCGGAACTGACTGAGGCCAACCTCTTTGGGCAAGAAAAGCAACACAACCACATCACCAAACGTGTGGCTGCCCTGGGAAACAAAAGGGAGGCCTTAGTTGTGGGAAGAAGCAGAAGACCCCTCCGCCCAAGGAAAGGTAAAAGGTCCAATCAATTTGTTCTCCCTGCTACTGTTAGACCTCCTTTAGGAATAGTACCCTCTATTGTACAAACTCTTTTCTAATTCAGGATCCTGTGACTGTTTTAGGGGTCCTCTATTATGAATAGTTGTTTTGCCGGAAACAATGCTGGAAAAATATGGGCAAAAAACTTGGCAACCCAGTCGGCAAACAACGGGCAAACAAATCCTGGCAAACATTGGGAAATCCTTTTCTTGAAGTGGTCCACAAACCACGAAATTTAAGATAACGTCTTTACAAAAAAGTGCGGGCAAACAGTCACAAAAAGGGGGCTGCCCACAAGAGGCCCAGATCCTCTTTCATGTGGCTGTCTTGGGGCCCTCTTTAGTGTCCAGCTGGTTTCGGGGTTGCTGAAAACTGAAAACCAAAGCCTCGGCCTTTTTTCTTTTAAAGGGGAGGGGGGCTCATCCCAAGTTCTCCCCCTCTCAAAGGTTAAAGGCCTGATGTGTATGAGATCATTTTTGCAAGTTGTTCCCGAACAATGAAACCTAAGATAACTTCTTTACACAGAAGTGCGGGCAATCAGTCACACAAAGGGGGCTGCCCACAAAAGGCCCAGATCGTCTTTAATGTGACTGTGTTGGGATCCTCTTTTGAGTGCAACTGGTTTTGGGGGTTGCTGAAAACGGTCCTTGGCAATACTAAAGTAGAGTTGGCAATGCTAAAGTAAGCGCTCGGAATCTGAGAGTCAGCCTTGGCAATACTAAAGTAGAATTGGCAAGTACTGGAAATCTGAGAGGAAGCTGTTGGCAATACTACAGTAGAATTGGCGGGCCTTGGCAATACTAAAGCGGAATTGGCAATACAAAGTAAGTACTGGAAATCTGAGAGGAAGCTTTTGGCAATACTGAAGTAGGGGGCCTTGGCAATACTAAAGTAGAATTGGCAATGCTAAGGTAAGTAGTGTCCCTCCCAAACCCCCATAAAGAGCAGTGTAAAGAGGGTCCAACATTAAAGAGGCGCCTTGTTGCATAGCCCGCTTGTCGGCACACTTGCTCTCATCCACCTAAAAAATCACAGCGGCAAACACTCCGTGAAAGGAAGCCAAAGGAAGCCCCAAAACCAATTTTCCCTGGATTACCCACGAACGCTCCCAGCCACCAACAACGCTTGGAAGGTACCCTCTTGACAGACTTTCAGCATTGGGTGTACAAGGGTTTCCTCTAATCAGCTCGCAAAAGTGTTTGTTGTTACTCGCCCGAACGGATCTGTTAAGGGATCCTGCCCATTTTCCCACGGGATCCTCTACATCAGGTGGCCAAAACGGAAGTAGACACACACAGGGTTCCCCAAAAGGACAGTCGTCATATCAGCTTCCATGCTTGTCGGGGCGTTCTGCGACTTTGGGGTACGGCAAGTCACGCGTGTTCAGCGGGTCCGTCCTGATGCACACGCTTGCGCCAGGTGCGTGGGTGGCTCTCGTTGCGCTGGCCTGAGCAACGCTGGCCATGGACAGTGCCCCAAAAGATGATGACATTCGTCAAGCGGATGCTTGGTGAGGGCAATTGCCCTTTCTCATCTTGGCGTAAAGGGAAACCAACAGGAGAGAACAACAATTTCCCAGCTTTGAACATATAATAAGTTGTGTGTTGCATGCTGAATATGGTCTTTTTGGAGGCTGTCTAACCCACAGATTGTCATTTTGAAAACCAGCAAGAATAATAAGTTGGGGTGTCTGACTTGAAGAAGGGGCCAGGAAATGAACGGTCATAGGAAAACAAGAAGGTCAAAAGGTCAGGTTTGCGCAATTGAGAAAGTAACGTTGGAAAGCACCATCATAACAATGTTTGAAGGTATCTGGTTTGGGATAGCTTCAAAAAGCCTGCAACAAGCAAACCATCCTGCCACTTTCACCACAATTAAGCAATGAGACTCAACTGCCAACGCTTTAAGACACGGACCAAGGTCAATACATGGTACTATTGTCCTCTGTTCATATCCCTTGGGCCATGTGCATGAGTGACTTTCTCGGCACTTCCAACTCCAGAGGGTCCGCCCGTGTCAACTCCCCGTCCGCCGGCCATTCCATGTCCATTCGGACCGAGGCCATGACGTAAATCACTTACCCGCAAGAAGCATGAGGTATATAACTTTAACAAATCTATTCAAGGCTGTGCAAGGGGCTGAGTGCATATATGAACGTATGGATGCAGAATTCTAATATGGTATTCAAGCGAAAAGCTTCGTCACGAGCTTCCATCATGGCATTGTTCAGGGGAACAATCATGCACCAACAATCAAACAGAAAAGCCAAACAAAAGCCAACGAAAAAAGCAAGCCAACAACAACAAAATAAGAAGAAGGTGTTCTTGTTTTGTTGGCTTGCGCCGAAAATCAAGGAACACCTAAAGCAAGCCAACAAAACAAGAAGAGGACCCCCAAGGAACGCCGAAAGAAAGCTGCAAAAGGGACACCAAAGCTCAACGTGCAGCAAAGCGTCCGGTGCTTGGCTCCCCGGCGAAGATCCACCAAGCCATCCAGCGACACCCGTCGCTTCTTGGGCCCTGCGCGAGGAAAAGGCGTGAAACAAAATCTGTGCAAGGCTTGTGAGCAGGGTCATGGAACCCAGCTACAGGAATTTCTGCAGGCTGGCTCCAAACCCTTTGGTGGGCTCCATGTTAGTGATGCCCACCCCTAATTGTATGAGGCAAGTCCGCATGCGAAAAGGTGGCCCTTTTTACACAAAAGAGTCATGGACAATATACGTGGTCTATTTTCACTTGTTGCTTTTAAAGGGAATCTATCACTACTGGACATATTCTGCCTTTTTCAGGGGACGAACATGCAAATGGAAGTATGGGGGGAGGCGGGGCCTCCTGATATCAGCTCTGGTCAGGGATTGTGAGTAGGCGGGGTGGATCATGAGGCGTTTGCGAGGGAGACTTCTCCGGTGTCACAAAGGCTTGAAGACTTCCATGAAGGGTCTGACAGATGGAGCAGCCTTCAAGTGCTTGAGGTCTATTCTGTGTGAGGAATAAACAATCAGCAGCTGGAGGCCATGCGGTTATTGGAAGTCGCATCCTGGAACCCAGTTTGCTAGAACAAATGTGGGGTCACCCAAATGGTGAGCATCAAGCTGTTTGCACAGATCCTGTTTACCTTCCCATGTTAGTTTATCCTTTGCCCTTTGCTTACAAAGAAAGAAATTGTGCCATCTACTTTCACCCTGTCTAAGAAGCCAATAGCATATCCTACACACAATCCCTGTTTGTGCATCTTCCAGAACCCCCTGCAGCAAGCCACTGAATGAATGCCCCTTTGCTGTGATACCAACGTGAGACTCCATACTTTGTCAAATTTGAACAAGAAAACAACCAAACCGGGTTGCTTGAAGGGTATTCTCAACAAAATCAACTGCACGTGCAAGCGGATTCTCTAAATCAGCTGCCACGTTGGTAACTCGCAGTGTGTGGTTTTTTGGGTCCCTGCCAAAAAAATCGCCATGACGAGCCAGCGTCACCTATGAACACCTCAAGCAAAAGTGGGCGCCCATAAGACGCGCCCGTCCGCTCCGAGGCTCCGTGCCGCTCGCAAGCATCTCGGCCACCACTGCTGCAGCCTGCAGCCACTCCGAAACGGATCTACGGGAGCCATGGAAGTGACATGCCCAAAATGACCCTCTAAAGCTCACTTCCTGAGTGGATTGGCCAACAAAAAGTCTGAACCTTTTGCCAGTAAAACCAACATGTAGACATGAACTCAGAAAGTGAGTGATCCTCCAAGGGTTGTGGCTAGCTTTGCTCACGCGAAGCTAACATTATCTTGCGGCAAGCTCTGATCTTACGGGAGCCAATGAAGCTCACATTATCTTGCGGTAGCTCATGTAAACTTACGGGAGCCATTTTCAAGCTATGCCTAAGCTTCCAGAAGCCAAATTATTGCCACACCAAGAAGCTAATGTTAGCTTACGGCCAGTGTAGGTTTGGCTTGGCTCAGAATGGATTTTTGGCATACAGTTCGCCTGCTTTTTTGCGATATGCCGGCGGAAACGTTGTGTCGGTCATGCCGGCGGAAGAGGCTATGAACTGACTCGCCACTCCACCTTCCCCAGACAACCAACAGCACAAGAGCCAAAGCCAGGGAAGAGAAGAACGCCACCGCAAAAAATGGCCGTCATTTGCCTTGCTTTTGAGGCTCCCAAACGCAACGACGCACCTGCACACTTGTCAGGCGCGAAATCCTCACGTCTCGGCCGGCCCTTTTTGGGGGTCCCCCCGTTTCCCTAGCCCCCAGAAAGGAAACTCAGAATTGGCTGTCTGCAAAAAGCCTGCGCAGAACCACTTTCAGGGGCGATTTGGCGAGAATCCCTGTGAAAAATCCAGCCAAAAGCCACCGGGATTTTTTCAGTCTCCCTTGGGTAACCCGTCTTTTGCGGGCGTTTTGCGGCTCGTGTTCCCCACCTCCCGCCTCCTGGAGGAAGGCTTTTGCAGCCGCGGGTTCCTGCAACTCAGGCCGCGAGCTGCGGAGGCGCACATTTGGGCTCCACGTAGGAACCGGACCTCTCCCACCAAAAAATGGATATTGGTTTTCCTTAAACATACCCCAAAATTGACATTCTTGCTTTTGCCACCAAGAAAAACACCCAAACACCAAAAACAAACCGTGTTACCTCTCCACCAAGAGCACACTCTCCATGTTCCGTGGGTTTTCCTTAAACACGCACCAAAGTGAGCATTTTTGCTTTGGGGGGTTTGCGGGTTTTCGTATTCGCCAAAGGGACTGACAAGCAGTGACAGCTTTGAAGGTTGACAGGGACATTATTCGTGATGAGCCAAAAAGGCAAACATGTTTCCGTTGTGTTTGAACCACCGGAAAAAGAGTGGTATTTCTTGGGCGTCACTTGTATGGACCCAGTTTAAAGGCCCCACGCACATTAAAAACGCCCTAACCTCCGAACTGTTTGGAGAATTCAACTCCTAGATCTAAGCGAAGGCCTCAGCCGCACAGATGGGTTACCCACGGTGTATATGGTTGCCCTTCTCTGTGCGGATTTCCTGGCGTGCTGAAAACCAATTGACGTGTGGTTCTGCCTAGATGGCTAAAGGTTTCTATCGACTTTGCTGTAACCCTAATTCATTTCTGCAACCCTAAGTAAACCTGATTTTCTGTAGTCCGATTCTCTCTCACCGCGATCTTTTCGGTGACCCGATTTGATCTGCAAACGAAGTCAGCCAAGTTCCCTGCGACTTCTTTGCCTTGGGCCTTGGGGCTCGGGGCGCTGCTCCATTGCGCTGCTCAATTGGCCCCGTAACCTGCGCCCCGAGTCTTGGTTGACGTTGGAAGGGGTTGAAATTCTAGCAGTCAAGTGGGGATTCTCCACTAAGCCACAAGAAGCAAACATGTAAAAACAAAAAACATGTTTCCAAACAGCAGCCGTGTAGTCACCATATTACTAGGCGATTTTTTCTAGCGGTTCAACATGGAGAGATGCCCAAGCCTAAAGTCAACTTCGGATGCCGCGGTGGCCCCGCGGGGTCCCGCTGAAGACCCAAAAGGTCCATATGGGCCAACCCGACATTTGCCAGGAACTGGTTTCTGGGGAAATCACTGGGTTTAACTCACTTCCTGAGACCGGCTAAAAGAAGTCCAGGCTTTTTCTTTACCACTAAAATGGTCCAGACCCAAAAAGTGACTAAAGTCCGAAGCGGAACTCAGGACGTGAGACATATGGACCAAAATCCTGCAGTTGGGATGGCTGAAGCCCTATGAACACCGGGAGAAACCTACTGGTGGAACTCGCGTCGAAGTCCGCCAGTTCTGGGAACCGCTCCGTGGCGGCTGCGAGGCGCGGGCCGAGGAAGCGGAAGGCCTGGCGGGTGGCGAACTTGGAGGGGGGTGGGGGTGGGGGTGGGGGTGGGGTTGGGGTTGGCTGGGGTTGGGGGATTGAATGAGGAGTCATACGGGATTCATGGGTTCAGTTGCATTTATGGGGCGAACTTTGCGATCACAGAGAAATGGTGGCAGTGAAAGCCCTTTCTTGGGTTCCATGCGAACTTGCCGAGTGATTCAATCCCCCTACCTTCTGGGGAGGGGGGTGGGGGGTCTCCAATTTCATGCCTCTAGTCTGGATAATGGAACCATAAAAATGGAATTCCAGAGGTCCCCCCTCCCCCAGGGGTAGGGATGTGATACCGGACATCGGGATCCCCAAGTGCAGCACCTTCCTCTGGAGCTGCACTTCTGCGGGGAACCAGCAGTGCTTGCAAGATCCTTGGTTACCCCCTTGTTGCCAAGGGTGAGTGAATCAGCCCAAAAGCCGGGTGTGTGTGTGTGTCAAAATAAGGGAATCCCCAATATGGGCAGTTTCGATTTGGTTCCCAAGCAATCCAAAAAGAGGATACCCTAAAAACACGGTCCAGTCAACAGCACGGAGAAAAAGCAGGCCCCCCTCGCCAATTCAGCTTGATTCGAGCGCAGCTCCCGCCTCTTCAGCTTGCTGCGAACCTGGCGGTTCGCATTTTGAACACCTCTCTCCGTCAGTGAACGAGGACCATACCAGTTGCCGTTTGGAGAGATGAATTCATCCCGAGGGCCTTAGCTTCTCCGGAACAGATTGACGTTTTCACATTGGCTCCTATTCACTTGATCCTTGAGAGTGTTCCCCATAGACCCCCTCCAGCCCTGATGCTCATCTGAGATTGGCCGAAAAAGGTGATAAGCTTCAACCCCCTTTGCTCAAGTCCCCCGGAAAACAAATAACAAACACAATATGTTCAATAGTGCCAGATTCCAACTTTAAAACCAACCGATGAAAAAAACAAACATATATTCCCAAGCAAATGGATGACTGAGGGCCCTGGAGCCCGGCTCGGGGAAACGTTTCCAACAAGGCCCACCCCAGCCTTAGGGCCACCTCATTGGATAGAGCCACTTGGACGTTTTTGGAAAAGCGCACTCCAAAGGCCAACTCGTAGCGCCCTTACAAAATTGAAGCTGCAACTCATGTCACATCTTCAGCTGCAGTTCCGAGTTCCTGTTAATTCCCTGTAAGCCAAAGGACCTCTGAGGTTTTGGAGGCCCAAAACTCTCGACTTTCGGGAACTCGAAACTCAGACTTTCGAGGTTTTGGAGGCCCATAACTCCGGGTTTGGGACCTTGAAACTCAGACTTACTTGTCCAAGGTTCCTTAAAGGAAACATCCAAAACCCCTTGCGGTACTTTTCATCCTCCGGCTGGTGAAGCCAAATTTGTCTCCGTGCCGACCAAACGTTCGGGGCACCTCGCGAGACGGAGACCGCAGCCAGGGCCAGTGGAAAGGCCATCCGCGATCTGTCTTGGGCCTTGGGACTGAGGACCAACCAAGCTCAAGCCATATTTTAATGTTAAAAGGAGTCCCCTGTTTCGTTTATTTAAACGTGAAATGCCTTAGAACCATCTGCACAACCGCACTGCTGTGCTGGCCCATGGCGCAATTTGGGTCAATTGCTTGGAGATTTGTTGCTGGCTTGATCCAAGGAAACCTCTTCTTTTGGTGCATCTCAAAAGGGCGCACCCAATTGGAAATGACAAGGTTCGCTTTGTTCCCTGATTTAGGGAATTTATCAAACCAATTGTCGACTCACTGTTTTCGTTTTTTCAAAATTGAAAAAATTAGGGGCCGCTAAGGACAATTGCATTCGTTCTTGCCTTAGCGGACCAACACTTCCCTCCCAAACCTCTGGATATCCATCGGAAAAGGGCACCTGAACAGGGCACCTGTGGCTTCTCCTTCGTTTTTTTTTGAACATGCTTAGCTGAAACTAAGTGCCAAAAACTAACTAAGCTTTGGTGTTAAATATGGGGGTCGGGGAGAAACAGATCCTCTGCTTGTTTCCCTTGTAAATTTAGAGTTCTGGGCTGAGCAAAGCCGAAGAAAACTGGAGCATTCAGTTTTGGAGCAGCGGGCTCTGCATATGGGTTTGAAAGATCTATCTACGGCCTGTGTTCTGAAAGGATGCTTGCAACCTAGCTAAAGTGATGAGCCCCTTTAGTTTGGATTTCCATTGTATGTGTTGCAACTCGCAGAATGACATCTGCCAGAGTTCAGTAATTCAGTCAAAGGTCGCCTTCCTGCAGATTAACGTGGAACTCACACATTTGTGCAGGCATGACTTTTGGGGCCGTTTCATAGTCATGTGCGCGGTGCAATAGGTGATCCTACCTCCTTTAAATGCTAACTTGCAGAACCTGGGCACATTTCAATTTTCTATGGCGACGATGCCGGCCTCTCTCCACGAGCCAAATACCCCTGGCCACTCACAGAAAGTGGCAGCCCAAAAACAATGTACAATGCTTGGACAAAACCAGCCCTTTAAACCTGAAGGATGCATCTGCTGGGGCAAAACTTCGACAACAATATCCAGCGGAGTTTGCTCAGCACGGATCTCCGCAATGCTGTCCTGTTGGTGTCCTCTCAACTCAACCAAAGCCAAAGCCCCTTCCCCTCCGCAGAAAAAACACACACACACACACCCTCCAAATGGCACAACAATTTGGTTTCCTTTAAGCTCAGCCAAAGCCCGCTTCACACAAAACACGGGCACACACATCCAAGTGGGAGCGCGGACGATTGTTGGCTCCCGCTTGGTCCGCGGCCCTCAGTCCTCTGAAACGTGGCTGGCCTGCACGTCCATGGGTTGCCCTTCACTAAACAAATGAATGCCTTACCTTAGTTCGTGGCCCATACCTAGCGCCCACAAACATGAAAACAAAAACACAACACATGTCACTACAAATCCTGGCAGCCACCAGCTTGCAAGCAAACCCGCAAGCATTTGGATTTGGTATTCTGGGGTCCATTTAAGCGACCTCTTCAAAATTGCAACCCACATAGCGGTTCCAAGGAAAACCCCCCCAGCAGAAGTTGCGAGGACCCCGAAAACCTTGGTCAGCGTTCAACCCTATAAGATTTAGGAGCCTGCTTTTTTGCTCATCATGTTCGTCAAGGTCAAAAAAGTAAGATAACACAAGCCTAGGATTTAAGACTCTTTGCTCATCATTTTGGTGATGGTCTCGCACCTTGTCCCAGAACATGTGACCGCAATCCGGGGTCTCACACCACACTCATACTTGTTCAAACGCCCGGGTTCTCAAACTTTGAATATTCCTTTTGGACCCAGTCACTAAACCGAAACAAATAACAGTTTATTGAAACGTCTGGTGGTGCACGATGCAATTCAAACTGGCTGGTTCTCAGCAGGGAACGCAAATTGGAATGACCCAAATAAAACATGCCCTATGGCTTCCTTCAAGGGAATCCCCACACGGTTCATTCCCGAAACCCGGACTCGTTGAGTCATTTGTAGGCTTGGCACCGCGATTTCTTTCCCAGCAGCATGGCCTCGAGATGTGACTCGCCATGGGCCACACGGAGACTTGCAGGGTGCCTGCGCAACGTGGGGTCCTCAGTTGACCCCCCAAATGGCGATTCTTTTGGGAAACTACTCGGACTCCCGTTCCTGGCGTTTTGTTTTTGGAAAAGAAGGATCCTGATGGGAGGCACAAGGCTTTCTGATCCCCTCTTGTTTTGGACAACTTGGCATACCTCCACCCCTTTGGGCCATTTCCGGAACTTTGGGTGCTCTAAAATGACCACTCTTGGAAATTCAGAAGCGCATGTGGCTTGACTCAGCAAGGCTGACAAGGCCGTGGCCAATGAACGTAGGCACACCAGAACCAAATCTCTCAAATGCACGGACTGGCGTCAAGCTTCAATTGAGTGAAACAACCCGGACAAACTCATCATTGTGGCAACCGTCCCTTTCTGTGATGCACGGAATGGGATTCCTACCCTTATCTTGTGTTAATGTTGATTCCTGATTAATCATCAATTCTATTTACAGGGAGTGTTGCCCTCCAAAAGCAATAAATCCCCACTTCAAGGGGACACCCGTCTACTTCTCAACGGGGGTTCAAAATCGAAAGGGACTCCCTGAGTGTCACAGAAAGCGGCAAACTACAAACCACGTCTTGCCATGACACGCTCCATGTCCACCCGATGTGGCCCTGTGCAGTGATGGAGTACTCTGCCAAAACCACGTCTGCTCCTGCCAATGCAATGATCACCATCACCTTAGATACTTGGTCATTGGTGATGGCTGGGTTGCCGGTAAGCATGGCTGTCAGCACCAGCAAGCCCACGAACGTCTGTGCTTATACTTGGTAAAAACATGTTTGCCTGGAAGAAGGTGTTGAGGCTCGTCAGCGTGTCTATCGTCAGGCCGGCGGCCGAAGTACTCGCCATCGTTCACAAGGGTGAGTACACTGCCATGCTCAAACACGAAAAAGCCAAGTTGACGGGTTCCAACTACTAGAATGGTTGTGGCTGATCTTAACACAATGTGTAGGTTGATCGTTCAAGGGACGGTGCTACCAAGTGAAACAAGTGCAGCAAAGAAGTATAGTGACTTTAGCCAAATGACGTTCAAGCGTTGCGCACCTTCATAACGCGTTGACATGCGCAAGCCTAATCCGAGAACTTCAAAAGCAATGATGTGGCATGTTCATCAAGCGGAAATGCCAGGACTCAGGCAGACGGCTCAAGCGAGTCGTAAGTTGCCCTCCGGTCCATGATCGTGGAACCCACCAAACGGTTTTTTACCGGGCTTTCCCGCCCAACCAGGCTTCATGTGCATGGGAGAGCCAGAACAAAAAGCTGCCTACTCAAGTGGCCAATAAAGGTTTCGGGCGCTCATCTCGGACCCCTTGTGGGTGTCCAATTTTTCGCTGGCTGATGCCAATCAAACTCGATGAAAAGAGAGTGTTTTCCGCAAGTCATCCGGACTCCGGCGTGTTTTTAGGGGACCCCAAAATGACGGGCTCCTTTTGAAAAACCCACCAAACAAAACGGGGGTTCCCTAAAACAAGACAGACACATTTATGCATCCTCCTCCCATGCATGCTACCCTCCTGCAGATTGACATGCTTTGAGGAATGCTGGAAAGAAAACAACATGTTGCAAGCCACCAGCCATGCCCAACAAATCCAAATACATCATGGTAAATCATCGAAACTATAGGGTTGCCCCGAGTGTCCTTGGCAGTGCGTGAAGGGTTTTTTGGGCCAAAAAGGAAAAACTAAAGGGGCGAACTCACTTTGCCCGGCTTGCCTGATGCCAGGCCCTCATTGCAAACGCCTTTTGGTCTCCCTTCCATGTGGCTCGAGGCTGGATGTTCGTCTCACGTGCTTGGAGCTGGTCGTTTTTGGGCGAATCGACTTGTTGTTGGCTTCCTTAAGGAAACGTCGTCTGTGTTTCATTTGTTTTTCGTTTTTTTTTTTTTTTTCTCGGGGGGAGGTCTCCGATCCGAAGACAAACCCATGGGGCTTTGTTTCGATCGGTCGTTCAAGATCAATTTCGAAGCCGGTCATCCCTTGACAAATGAGATGTCGGTGAAAATGGAATTGGACTGGATGGTGCGGGAACCACGAAGAAGCCACCCACTGGCAAGGGCCCACTATTCTGGACCACACACACGTGAAGGAAATGACGACACGTTTGACTTTCAGTCAATGCTCTGGCAGAGGTTCATTTACTTCTCAGCTGCCTCCCTACATGCAAACAGCGCATTCGCTGAGAGATCGTGGCTGCGGTGACTTCACTGCAAGTGGCTGCCACCTGAAGTGACTCAGGGCTCGTGATAACAGAATCTCGTTGGCCAGAGTATAAGGGAGAAAACACCAAAGACATCCGGATCAGCTCTTAAATCGGTTCCAGCCACCAATCAAAAATCAGTTGAACTGCTCGAACATGTATTGTGGGAGAAGACCAGAAATAGGTAGGTCCATGTACCAGTGCTCTGTTCCTTCGACTTGATTCTCGGCCTAAGAAGCTGACCCCGACATTTTCTGGGGGTCCACCCAACAATGTCCATGAAGCACCTGCAATCAAGCACAACGGTCAGCAAAGGGGGGCACAACGCAAGCAAAGCAGTTTGGACTATGTCTGATTTTGAGGCACTATCAGGACCAAGGAGAAACGGGTATACACCCAACATATAGCCAAAACATGGAGTGAAAAAACATTTCCCATGGGGGAATGCTTAGTGGCTAGTGGAAGTCATCTTATGTCCATTATGTACATGTGGCAGGCGCCGAACGTATTGTCAACTTCACAACACGAATGAGCAAGTGTCAGCATAGGTTTGGAACCCCTTTTGGCTTTTGAAGGGATGCCAAAAGGAGAACCGCTTGGAGAGCTCCAACTCAAGACAAATCCAAATATCATGAAGCATGTGCAAATCAAGCATGAGACTAAAGCGGTGTAGCTGCAACGTACCCTTCCAGGCAGGGAACTAGGAGGGTCCGCCTTGGATACGAATCAACTCTGGCCGCCTAACATGGAACCTGACGTTTCGGGGTGCTGGTAAAGGGACCATCTCCTTGTAAAGGGGCCGTTTCCCGAAGGTCAGGTTCCATGTGTTTGTTGGTGGAAGGGTAACAACTTTTACGGTCGGCTCAATATGAAACGGATGGATTTGACCCGTGCCAGGGACTCAAAGGCATCTCGTGAGCCGCTTTGAGGCCCCTTTTCAATCAGCCCAGTGAGCACGGTAGACAACCCTTGTCAATGACAATTTTCAGAGGCCAATACCAGCTTGAACTCCGCATGTGTGGAGCAGTGCCTTTGGTGGAGTCAAAGCATGGGTATGGGTCAAAATTAAGCCACCAGGGGACCGCAGGTTTTGGTCCATGTTTCCACTTACTAGTGCTCCATTTGGGGTACCTATTTTTGACCCACAGCCATATTGGTGCAGTGGTGCATATGGGTACGTCTCCAGCTTTTCAACGCTTCGCGCGAACGGCAAACACGTCACTCAGAGCTCCGACTTCGCCTGAAGCTAGCGGCGTGTGAAAAACGCAGGCTGATCTGGACGGAAGGAAAGTCTTCCAACATCGGAAAGCACAGGGGAACAAGTCAAAACCAAAAACAACACTTGTCCCCATCTGGCGGTCTGAAGTTCGCCGATGTCCCGAACGGCCTCGCAGCAATCTCAAAGGTGCCAATGGCAGAGGGGCTGAGTTTGGAAGGAGTAAGTCCAAGCGATTCTCTTGAACTTCTGGAAAAGCTCACGACAAAGCGATCCAACCGGCTGGTCCTTGGCCCCATGAAACTGAACCAAGGTGAAGCTGGTTGCAACTGCGCCGCCGGTGGCTCGTTATGGCGCTGTATACAAATCACCCCCGCATCGCAACACAAACAAAAACAGCCCAACAAGCAAACAAACAAACTTTCGAACACAACAAAACAGAACAAGCCCAACCAGCCAAACAAAACGAACAAACACACACACACACAAAAACAAAAAAACACCCCAACAAAGCACCAACCAACCAACCAACCAAACAAACCAAACAAACCAACCAAACAAACCAAACCAACCAAACCAACCAAACCAACCAAACCAACCAAACCAACCAAACCAACCAAACCACCAACCGACCAACCGACCGACGACCCCCATCCATCAACCTTTGCTTCATGGAATTCGGGGGTAAACTGCGCGCGTGCGTGGAGGGATGGACCTTGTTCCTGGGGGAGGTGCCTTACTTTGCTCGGAATTTGGACACGAGGGGGCACACACATCGCAGGTGAAGAAACCACATTTACCTGAAGGGCAATCCGACACATTCCTGCCCAACATCGAGTCGATGCCAACCTATGGTTCAGCAGTTTCACTTCCTCCTTGTCGCCTTGTCTCCATGAGACGACTCCAACCAAGCAGGCAAACAACCAACCAACACATAAACGCGGCTTCCGATCCGCTCGCAGGACAGGGCGCTCGAACTGACGGCACCAAACAGCTGGTGTTCCAGTAAAAGATCCGGTTCTCCTCCAAGGCGTCCAAGATCTTCATGTCCTCTCGGAAACAACCCCCTCATGTACATAATATGACATAACATGTCGGAATACATGCATTTATGCAGACATACGTGGGCATATATGTTGGTACAATTGCGATTGATACTGTGGATGGACGAAATCCTGTATGCCGATGTATGTATGTATGTATGCATGCATGTATGTATGCATGCATCTATGTATGCATGCATGCATGCATGCATGTATGGATGTATGTATGTGTGTATGTCTAATCCATTTTGAGAAGCACTATGGGGTGAGGCCACTCTTGGGTTTGGAGCGGGGTCCGCGCTCTCGTGAGCATACTCCTTTAGCCCAAGCTCAGCTTACCCGTGAGTAACAATCAGCCAGACCCAACCAAGAGGTGCCCTGAACGGACACACATCTTTTGACTTCACCAGGAAAAAAGTACGCTAGAAGATCGGAGACCCCAGTTTAGGTTGGTCACCAGGTCAGGAACCACGGGAGAAACAAAGGGGGGCAAAACTTGAAGAGCAAGGCGCCGTGCATGGACAACTTCCCTTGGGATGAAATGCATGCAAAAGGGGGGGGGGCATGATCTAGATCCTCCAGTAGAGAGGTTAGAATTAGGGTACCGGTTCTTTTTTCTGTACTCTATTTTGGTAGGGGAACCCTCCAAAAAGGGTAAAAGGGCACTACTGGGGGACCTAGTCATTGAAGGCCGTGGCTGTCCGAGTCATCCAACTTGAAGTTCAGGACGTCCAAGTTCTCCCGCAGCCGCTCGACCTGACAAGTTCAAGCCAGGGCCCTTCCTGGGGGGGGAGATGTCAGGGCGGCTTTCAACCAGATGGTTGCGTTGCTTAAACACGAAATCAATTCATGATCATGGGAAAATTAATCACCTGTGGTTGTGCTGTCCCTTGTGGTCTAACTGATCTAATGGTTGGCACTTAGCATCAATGTCGCAAACCCGCCACAGGGCATCGCCCATTTAGTTTGAGCTGCGACATGCACTCGTGTCCATGGCCCCTGATAAGGGGCATGTTGAAGCTCCGAAGCCAAGAACCTGTGGTCGTTGATCCCCACCCTTCAACCAACCCCCCCCCCCAACCCCCCTCCCCCCGCACCCCACAGTTTTTATCATCCACGTGCCACAGGCCATCCGTGCCTATAACCCGAAGAAGCACCTGAATGCAACTGCCGCCTTGGCAAAAACTCAGCACGAAACCTGCGAGTAGGGAGCAGCTGTTTGACATTCATCCAAGTATCGCGCTAGGAAATCAACATAGCACGCCACCAATTCGTACCCGTTCCGAAGCGACCAACATGCTTATACTTGGCCCAACTTCACAACCAAACCGGCCACCAACTTCACTTCAACACCCCCAATGATGGGATACCTGGTTCAGGGAATCCACCAAGTTCGCAACCACGAGACACCTTCAATCTCAACCCTCATAGAATTCTAGGGCTGCCTTCCCCATTCTTTCCAGGGATCCTTCTTTTCAGGAAACCATCAAAAACCCAGGGAAACAGCTGGTTTTTTAAAGAATGATGGTTGAAAAGAATGCGGAATCAACCCCTTGAAGCATGGGTTCTCACCCCCAAGGAAAACATCACGAGGCTGCCCCGCACCGCGCCTTGTTGGACTTGGGGTTCACCTAAGTGTGCGCCCGCGCTCGATGCGATAGCAACATCTCAGGTCGGACATTCCTTCAAAGTTATGGAGGGCTTAACTTAGAGGAACTGACACCAGTCTCTATGTTGGAGAACTCCAAAAAAAACAGTCAAAATCACGTGGTCTTGCGAGGACTTGTTTGAGGACCTCCATCTTTGGCACCCATTGTGTGACAGGCCCCCTTTTTTGGGACACGCCCCTCATTTGTTGTTCTTTTTAGACATCAAATGACTTCACTAAAACCCACCAAAACACGTGGCCTAAGAAAAGCACAACTCGGTGGCATGGTTTTTGGCGAAGATCCCAAGTATTTCGCCCGAGGTGCCTGAGGGTCCCTACATTTCCCCCTACATCACCCCACCACAAACATCAGTCCCCTGAGCAACCATGCCAACTTGATCACTTCCAAAGGGATTCCCTTGATATGCGCAGAAGCTGGCCACTGTCCACAACCCTTGTCGCCCCACAACCAGAGCAGCCAGGGGACTTGTCAAAATAGCAATGGTGGTCTTCCCTCTGGGTTCCCTTCAAACGAAACCCCCAAAAGGACGCCAACTCAAGAAAACAAACACCCAGCACATGTCCACGCTTTCCGTTTAGCAAACATTGCCTTCCCAAGTGCAAGGTCCAGGATGGCTTGTCCCCACTTTAAACCACTGCAACCCAAAGCAACCCTTGTGGCGCAGTTGTCTCGCCTTCGACAAGCTGAACAATCCGGTAACCCTTAGTTTGTGCTTTTTCTTACAGAGGGCAAATGGGATTTGTTTGGGGATATGACCCCCTTCTTGTAGAGCTCAAATGGGACAACACCCCTTTCACGCCTCCGAACCACCAATCCAAACCACCAAATTGCCCCTAGGGAAACTCACCGAGAGGGGCCAAACAAGGGCCCAAAGTAATTGGACTTTATTTCAGGATTTTCCCAAAGGGAAATCAACCACCCGGATTGAGTCCACCAAATAGTCTGGTAACCCCTGCCTTCGAAAACCAGAACCCATGTCCCCAAGCAAAAACCCGATCGGTAGCTCCGAGTCCGGAGCTTTTTAAGTCTGGGTCCCGGAGCCAAGCACCAGCTAAATCAGCTTCCCTCTAGGAGGCGGTTTGGAGGTGGTTGTTTTCCATTTTCCCTCTACAAAAGCCAGGGGTTCAAATCCAAATCCAACATTCCAATACCACCAACTAAGGGTTGCAGCGAAAACCAGTGCTTGGTTGCTGTTGACCCCTCTGCAAAAAGTGAATAACTCTTGCAGGTCCCATGCGCAATTCGACCTGTTCCAAAGATCCGTTGGCAACCAATCCAAAAACACCAACTAAGGGTTACCTGAGCAAACCAGTGCCAAGGCGCCCCAACCAAATAGGGGGTGCCTCCAAAAGTGGTGTGATTCCCCACATTTCACCCAGGGAGAGCCCCATAAATTTGGTTTTTTTCGACTAATACGGGGGCAACACTCGCCACGAGGAGCACCGAGGCGCCGCGATGTTTTTCTGCACGGCCCAGCGCAGCAACACTTGCCCCGCCGAGCGCCCCAGGCGCTGAGCCACCTTCTCCGCCGCGGCAGTTTCCACCACGACGCCTGCGAGAGGCGTCGATGTCCGCGGATGGGAAAGAAGGGCAAGGCCAGGGGAAACGTTGGGTTTGACCCAAGAAAACAGCAGGCCAAGCCGTTTTTCCTATGTGCAAGAGGAAAAAACACAAAAACTCGCTTAGTAACTACTGGCTATTGGAAGCCAAGGAGATTCCCGGGTGTCAAATGGAGTGTCTGGACAATTGAAATAAATGCCTGTTTCTGGCGTGCCCGGGTCGGCCGACAAACGAAAAGGGAGAGGCTTCCCGAAGGTTTGCCCACAACAATGAGCACGACCTTCCACAAAAGGCTTCTTGTCGACGGGTTCGGACTTGCCAGCCCAACAAACCCATGTTCCAGAAGGGCATCTGACAAGGGGACGCGCTCTTGGCTGTATCTCGAGAAAAGTGGCCCTTTCCAAAGGATGCCTTCCTCAGTGTCTTTACCTTCCATGAGCGTTTGGGGGGGGGGGTCCTCCTCTCAATCAAGAGACCTCGAAATGTCATCTGCGGCCTATTTTTATTCAAAGCACATTTAAAAGGTCGTCATTTTGCTCAGTATTGCAGTTGGTCACACCAAGGCGATAACAAAATAAAAGGTTTGCCTCAGTTTGATGAGATGACAGGGTCTCGGAAGCGATTTAAATCAAACCTCGAACTTGGATATACTTTGCCTTTTCGGAAGTGAGCGGCGCATCATTCGCCTCTCGGCTTGGCGCGCGCATCGCCTCGTTTTTCTTTTAGTGGCCACGTCGATGTTGTAACCTAATTTTTGGGTAACAGTTGTTTGGGACTTGCGTACGGTACGCATGTGTCAAGATAGTGGGACCCACAAAACGGTACGCGTGAACCTACTCCAAAAGGCAAAACAACACACAAAGCCCACACACACACACCCACTTGAATTTGCAAAGCAGCCAGGCATACGTAGCATTTGCCCTCCACATAGCATCCAGTAACAATAACCCGTCCTGTGCCGTACCCGGTCAGGCGGACATTGGCATCTTTGGCATATTTCCTCAGCGGAAAGAGGAAACTTTGGGGGCCTGGACTCACTCACCTCCCAAGTAGATTGGTGCCACTAAAATGGTTTTCCCAAAAAGTGTAAAGTGCAGGAACTCAGCGAGAGGGTTGAAAAGCAACACAAAACCTTGACGCCATTGAACAATGGGGGACCACGCAAATGCTTCGACTCTTGATTTCCCTCGGCATCCTTAATTAAGAATGCCTTCCAAACACCTGTTCTTTCTCACATCCTCTATAAGGATACCTTCCCCCAAAAAACAGGCCAACATGTATTAAAACTCAGGCGGATGTTGTTTCCGAGGCACTGGACATCCCGGAATTGAGCCAGCGGATGCAGCTCCTGCTGCTCATTGAAGATGGGCTCCGATTTGTATTCATCGATCTCCTGGCTTGAGAATGCGGGTGGTAAATACGCCACATCTGAGGAACACAAGAATCATGCTCATTTTCTGCTTCACATTTGGCAGGGAATCCGGATCACTTCTGAGAGCACCCCCCCTACTCATCCAGAAAATGAATTCCTCCGGGGTTTTAGAAGGACCGAGGCCTTACCCTTGTCAAACCGTCCAGGAAGTTTGCTTATTGGCATCTACTAGTTTACCAATCTATCTGTTGACAGCCCTTTAGAAGTTGACCCTCTCAGCATTTCCTGAATGAGAAGGCCTCCAGCATCCGCGGACATAAGAACACAAAGCACGCCAAAAAACACCTGGGTTTCCTCACGGGTCAGAGTCTCTCCCGGGCAATTGCTCCAAAGGCCCGCGGGCCACCCAAGCCCAAAGCCTGGACAGACTTGGGAGAGTAACACATCCCAAAGTTGATCACCCGTCCGGGTCGTCTGCCCAGTGGCCGATTTCTAGGATACCGTTGGGCTGTTCAAGGCTATCCGGCTGGCGGCTAAGCTCCTTCCGGGGACTGCGCGCAAGCACCGCTTTCGAAGGGGAGATCAGCTTCCTACTTGGTGACTTGGATTGGTTTGGAGCTGTTCTGGGACTGCTTCCCCCAAAAAACACTTCTACAAGAACCAGTGCAACTCCCCAAGCCACCAAACAAGGAAGGACTGTTGTAACAGAAACAACCCCTTTAACTCCTGGAGTCAGGCCCATAACTCCGACATCTCCCCGATCCTTCATAAAGGCCACGGGGTAGTTGCTGACGCCGATGTGCCTGCAGAGCCCTCGCCGCTTGGCCTCCTCCATTCCCTGCCAGGACCTCGGGCGAAGACTTCGCGCCAAGGCGCGAACCGCATCAGAACCAGCGAAGCGCAGCGGTATCCTACCCCTTAAAACTCCAAGCCCTGGGGAAGTTCTCATCTTTTACAGACATATAGCCCATGTTACCCAAAAAGTTACGAAAAGTTGTGTTTTTAAGAGGTAAGTATAAGACCCCTGAAAAAACAACCTCCAGTAGTGATACATTCCTCTGAAAGCCAACAAGGGAAAATAAACATATTAAGCAAATGGAAGTAAAAAGGTCAGGTAAACGGCAAACCCCCATGTTCCGGGTCCATTGAAGTGACATCCTGAAGCTTGCCCTGTCGGCTTCAAGGAATCGATTGAAATCCCCAGAATGGGTCATTCCCATGAAAACAACCCTCCCAAGAAAGCCATACCCCAAATGCGTCTGGTGGCCTTCAAATCACGGCACCGAGTCGAAAGGAATCCCTTGTTTTGACACATCCTCGTGGAATTCTCCGTGAAAGCCTGTGGCACGCTTGCCGTAAAGCGCGCCAACCGAGCGCAAGCCTGCACGGAACAAATGAACCTGTGCGAGCCCAAAATAATGGCACTGCTGACTGCACTCGGAGCCAGGCTACCACCTGATGGCCTGAAACAGTGGCCAAGTGCAGCACATCCCCTGAAACAATCGCCACCGAAACGTGTTGCTTTCCCATCGGTACACTGACATGTTCGAAAGGGGACATCTGCGACATCGACCCCGTCACAATTTCGATTTGCTGTGACAAAGAAGTGAAGGGAAAAACTTTGCCAAAAGCACGAGGGCCACATCATTTCAATGTTTGATGTCACCTTTCTCGTACTTGGTGCTTTGGTTGGGTGGTTTGCAGTTCTGCAGGTATCTTTCCCATACATCCCGAAGCCACCAATCCACCAACCAAGGCCTACATGATGATCGGAACCCTCAGAACTACTCCGAAGGCGCGCTGTACACCCCGTGCACCCCGTGAAGAAAAGAAGGTAGCGCCAGCTCAAAGCCTTGATGCTGGCCGACCATCCTCAAAGATCCCCTCCAGGAGGCAAAAAGCATCAGCTTCAAGCAACTTCCCTAAAGGAAGTAAGCAAAACCGCATGTTTGGCCGGTCCAACCGCTGTTGCCAGGTTCCTTCCCCCACGTCATTGAGCCAGAGTGTCCATGAGGCGATTTCAGCCTCAAAATGTCAGACACAAGAACCGACACCTTGCAAAAGTCCCGCCCAAACCACTCCGCCCGGCACCTCTTGCGCTCAGCGTAGGCTGCGGCGGAGCGCTGCTTCACTTCCTGATGGGTTCCGTCACGCGGTAGGTTTCTCTCTCTCTCTCTATGGTGTTCACTGCCCCGAAGCCACAACTAGGTCCTCCAGTAGAGAGGATAGAATAAGGGTACCCTTTTTCCGTAGTCTATTTTAGTAGGGGAACCCTCCCCCAAAAAAGGGTAAAAGGGCACTACTGGGACTAGCCAAAGAAAAACATGTGTACACCCTTTGTACAGTGGCTAGTGACTACTGCCTGTACACTCCACATGTCCCCTCAAGAAACCCTGGTTTGAAGAGCAAGAATCGGGGACCCCCATGGCGGTTCTGCAGATTCCCTTCAACCCCAAAACGGGTAGCAACTCGTTACACTCAAAAACCACCCAAAAGAAATGTGACACTTCAGCCTTATTTGGGGGCCCTTATTTACTCCGATGTTGGGCTTAAGCCTTATTTAGGGCTCTTATGTACTTTGATGTTGGGCTTCAGCCTCACTTCTCCTTACCTTCAACGGTATGTTCCAGTCCACAACCACCTCCTTCCCTAACCCCAAAACCCCACCTCTCCAGCCGAACGCCACCCGACTCGATCCGACTCGGCCCGCAAGTCGCCTGCATGGCCAGGGCCTTCAAAGCTCCGTTGGTGGTGCCCTCTGTCCAGCTGGCCATGTGGCCCTGCCACAGGCCGTAGAGGTGCGGCCAAAAGGAGGCCGTCAGCTCCTCAGCTCAGTCGCTTTAGACAACAACTCTGCGAGGTGTTTTTTGGTGTTTGGAACCAAAAATAGACACGACCGAAAAAGAATAAATAAATGACAAGTGGTAGAGAGACCAAACAAATTTCCTCAGTCATCCACGAAAGTTTAAGACATAACATGTTGCAAAGGTGCCTTCTTTTTTGAACAACAACAAGTGCAAATAGACACGCAGGAACAAACCGGAAAAAACAACAAGTTGTAGATTTATATATGATTGCCAGTTTCATACATAAACGCGGTGGATAGACCAAAGGACACACACACACACAAGTACCTGCCAATACTGCAAGCATGTAGAATGTATAAGCGTCCCACTTGGGACACATGACTTCCCTTGGCAATGATCAACATTTCTTGTGGCATGGTTCCAATGAACCCAAGAGCTGACTATCCCTGGCTGCCAGTCTGAAAAGTGAAAAGCAGCGTTGGAACACCCAAAATGGACATTCCTTGCAAATGGGCAAACATCCTTGGGGGGCATTTTCGCCTACCAAGTGAAGTTGGTCTTTTGCCCAATGGCACATGGGTTTGCCTCAAAGGGGACCCTCACATTTGGCAGCTGTCTGCCCTTGCTTCTCTTAAAAATCCCCCCCCCCCAAACAAAAGAGGCATCCTCTTTAAAAAAAGAAGATTGTCGCACCCCTATTTGGGAATGCCCATGGCCCATAATGCCCATGACTGCTTTATCTCTTTGGGGATCCCCTTGGGCCACTCCCAAACAGTCGCAACCAAGCAACCATTTCCCACGCCTTGCTTCTTGAGCGCATTGGCCAAAACAAGTCCAAACTTCTGGTTCGCCCGGAAAAAAAAAGAGGTCCAGACCCAAAAAGCAAGGCCAGGAACTCAGGGAGTCCGACCATACAAGGACACGTCACAAAATTTGAAACCCAGACGGGGCCGTCCCGGGTTCGAGGAACCGAGGCGCCAAGGCGGAAGTGGCGGGCGAGTGGATGAGGCAAAGGTCCAGGTACTCCACGCCCAGCTCCTTGAGGCTCAGCTCAACGGCCTGAGGTCACAGGTCCAGAGGTCTCACGCGGTCACGCCCAAGCCACCTTGTCGATTTGTTTAACACCAAGATGGAGAAAGTGTGTGAGTGGGCTTTGTGTGTGTGTGTTTAGATGGAGAAAGAAAGGTTTCAACACTCTGTTTCCCAAAGGACCCAACAAATAAACAGATTGACCTTTTGGGCCCAGGACTGGAAAAGGACCAAACCAAGGGCCACGAAAGGTCGGATTTGGGCCAGCGAGAAACCCCGGCTCGAAGCTCTCAGTTTCTGCCCAAAGCTCTGAGAGGACGGGCATAGGAAAGCGGTTTGAACAAAAGACACCTGTGGAGAAGTAGGTTGTTTTTCGGCTTTTGGTGGACCCTAAGGTTCAACCCCCATTTAAAAAACATGTTCATCCAATTTGCATCAGTGAGCCCCCATTGTCTTGCTGGATTGAACCTGAGAGACACCAAAAAGGCAAGGAGCCCAAGTCTCGGGAAGGCGTTGCAAAATAATCTATGACGACGAATAATTATCCTATGATGGATAAACATGACACGACAACTAGTATGTCATATAGTCTTACAGGGATCCTTACATTATACACCTGAACATTGCCTTGTAAATGGTGGTTCCCCTTTATTTTGGCGTTGAAAAAGCAACATGCTTCAATTGGTCAAACTGTATCTTTTAAGGAGCCCTGTCTTCTGGTTGGAGTTTGGTCCACTCACGAGGGTTCCATTTGGGGTACCTATATGTGACCCACAGCCTTATGGTTTGAGCTGGATTCCCCGCCTGGACCTCTTTGCCCTTCTGGTTCAAGGGGTGGTACAGGCTACGCAGCTGCTGCGGGATGGGCAGCTCCTCCATGCCGAAGGCTGGCCGCAGCTCCTGGCCAGCTGAAAGCCCCATGGGTTTCAGCCAGCCCGGGAAGTCTGTCCTCGTCTTTTTTGGGGTGCCCCGTTTTGGGAGTTGGTGTAAAAAGGGAAACCAACAGGGAAACCCATCATTTTGGGGGCACCCTAATAAAAGAAACATGCTGGCGGGCTGTCAGGGGGCCAAGACTGGTTGCTTAAACACACATGGTGCCACCAACAAACATGGCTTCGTGCAAAAACTGCCTGCTTAAAAAGGGTTGGCCTGTGCACTTTCATGTTGGACGGTGCTACATTACATCACTTTGAATTGATTTGCACATACCTACATGCATATCTAATTATGTATGTGCTACCCTACACAAAACCTAGCCTGGAAGGGTTTTGCCATGGCGTGCGAGCTCTCTCATGAGCACTCTCTGGCCCCTGGACAACTATCCATCAAACATGCAGATTCGGAAAACTCCTGCAGATTCCTCTTGGAAGACAGCCACCTCTTACCAACTGAGGAGAAGTAGTTTGCAACACCCACGACTTCTGTCCAGCTTGACTTGCGGCTTAAGCATAGCACCATGTTCTTTTTGGTAACCGGGGTGAGCACCATCCCACTACGAAAATGCGAGTGACAATTCCCAATGCATAGTTGGACCGGCAACAGAGGCATCGTTTCTTGACGCTGCCAAAACTGCTTCGCTGCTTGCTCTCAGAATAAGCACGCTACTGTAAGGTGGTGAGCAAAATGGAACAGACGAGACCCGGAGCGGGAACCAGAAGGCGTGCCAACACTGCCTCCACACCTGCCAATAATTCCCACTGCTAACACCGATTCCCAACTCAGCAAGCAAACGAGTCTGACTTGTTCCCGTCGAGCTTCGTTCGGCACAGTGGCAAAGGTCCTCTGGAAGCTTCATCGAAGAAGGAAAGAATCCAACCTGCCCAAGCACCCAACCATACTTCTGGACTGGACACGCAATTCCCTCTGCGGCAAAAGTTCCTTTGTCGCAAGGATTAAGCTCCGAGATCCAAACCCCTAACTCCAGGACCTCGACGAGCTCCCGAGGTGGGATGCTGCGAAAACGCCCACGAGAATCTGACAGATGGGGCTGCCACACCTTGCTGAGACTTTGGCAACTAAAACGCCGAGCTCGAGTGACGCCCACTCAGAGCAATGGGAACCCAGGACTACAAAACGCCCGGTTGATTCAAATGCAGGGGAGTCCCATCTTTCATTGGCGGGGGCCACGCGATTCATCCAGCAGGTTGGGTTATTTTGAGTCGACATGAGATTGTTTGGGACCCAGGGTGTCCAAGCTAAAGGCAAAACACAAGAAACTAAAGCAAAGGCTCGGAATGCCCTCGGGTGACTGAAGTTTCTACGATCCCTATTCTGCCAGCCCCAACAAACTAGGACAATCATAAGGGGTTACACACCCTATTCCCCGTTTAGACTGGGGGCCTGCGGCGTGCGGTATCTACAAATGAAAACTACTGCGAGGCTTTGCAGTCAATACTGTGGATGGACGAAATCCATTTCGCACCACCTAAAAACCCTGCATTGATGCTCCCCCTGTGAATACCAAGCAACTAATGGATTGCCATGCTTTCAAAGTGGTGCGAAGTGGATTTCGCAACCACCCACAGTATTTTAGCGACTCAAGTGCTGAAATGTTCGACTGAGTCGATGGCTCGGAATGCCAGAACTCAAGTCCAGCCTGGAGCTCTGATAGATTCCTGTGCGACACACAGATTACCTATGTAAGGTAGGTACTATAGATGTATTCTATTTAAGGTAGGTACACAAGCATGGCCAGATGTGTATGTCGAATTGTGTCGCTATACATTTACCTCTCTCTCTCTCTCTCTCCTCTTTCCTCTCTCTCTCTCTCTCTTTCTCTCTCTCGCTCTCTGTCTCTCTCTCTGTCTCCAGCATCCGATGTAAATGTATGTTGCACATTTCAGTGACGCCTTCGTTTCGCCGGGCACAACTCCCGTGGTCCTCACTCACCCCGGGCGAGCGAGCGATCGATCGTCGGCCTTGGAAGTCAAAAAGACCTCCTCGCGGGGCACGGTGCTTCTCTCGAGCGCGTGCCTCACCATGTCGTGGTTCCTTGGAGCCGGCTCTGACAAGGCTCAACTGATGGGCCGGGGTTCCGGTTACACCACTAAGTCAGTTCATTAAAACGCCATGCGAAACAGCCGGCCACAGGGAACTCAGCTTACGCCTGCCGAAAACTACCCAAAAATACAGTGCTTTTTCAACGCCCATGCCTCATTGCGTTTTGCCGTTTTCCAAGCGAATCTTCCAACTCCGCTAGTAGTTGGGTCATTGATTTTCCCAAATGTATCCATGGGACGCTGTAAAACAGTGGAGAGCTTGGTCTCCCCTCACCTCAAAATCCTCCCGAAACGGGGGTTCAGCATCCACCTATACAATTTCCCTCTTACCCACCGAGGGAAACTGTATGGGCAACCCTTGCGGGCACCCACCGCCCTTCTGGGGCTGAGAGTTTCCTCAGACATTCGGCTCACAGAGCTTGCATACAGCTACAACTGGTCTTACGGAGTTTTAAACTGAAAGGATTTTGATTGATGGCGGACTCGCTTTAAATTCTAATTTCGCGATTGTGGGAAGTGTTTTTTCCTAATTCAAAACCCTCTGACTATTTGGACGTTCGCTTAAAAGCAAGTCCTGCGCTCACAAACACAACAACATCGGAATTCTGTGCAAGCAACCTTTGCCACACCGAAAACCAGTGCTTGACTTTGGACACCTTCGTGAACCTTCAAATGCTGTTGAAGCCCGAACGGGTACTTAAGCGGTTAGCAAGCCTGGTGGCTTATTAACTTATCAACCCACTCCAGCCATTCCAAGTCTCCGTTCAGCAGGTCATAACCACGCAAAGCCGCTGCCTAAGAACCCCATCGCGCTCGAACCCACACGGCCCGCGCTGGGCGCTGGGCGCTGGGCGCTGGGCGCTGGGCGCTCGCAAGGCCAAGGCGCCCGTAGAGCAACGCGGTGTCTAAGGTGCGGTAGCCCATCTCCAGGGCCGCCACCATGGTCGACACCTCTCGAGGCCCGCGGAATGCGTCGGAGATTCTGAGATCGGGGCCCCGAGGTTGTTTTGGGTCCGATGGACATGGGAAGCTGTTCAACTGCCCCATGGTACCTTCGAGAAACTTTGGAAAATATGGGAGCAGGGAAAGATGCTCATCCCATGATCGTTTCGCATAGGTGTTTCATGGATCTTCATGGAGGGTATGGAAAAAAGAAAACATATCCTTTTGAACTGTCGTGTTAGATGTGTGTCGATGTTTGTGTTGTTTCTTTGGTGCTTTGGTGTGTTTTGTTGAATTTTGGTTTTCCAAGTAACTCGTGCAGATATAGATCCCCTTGCAAACACAACGTTTTAACTATAGTATCTTCCCGGTTCGCTTTAAGGGGACTAGGTGAAAGCAATACTGATGCTACTTAGGACATTGTCAGTTCTTAAGACGAACAGCTTTAAACGCCGAAATATGTGTTTTCCTCATGTTGTGTTTTCCTTGTATTTTCATTTGCTGGTTTCCTCCATTTTGGGACCCTGGAAAGCCTTGTTCTTGGTGCTTTTCATTGCTGCTTTCTAGGGGTCCCAACACGGAGGAGAACCAGCAGCATCAAAATAGAATGAACACACCCATGAAAATAACATGAAAGTGTCCTCGACAAATGAACATAAAAGGAAAAGCCAGATGAACATAACATGAAAACACACATGAACATGAAAGGACAACATGATTGCTTCCCCAGCCCCAAGCCTATGGCCAAAAAATATCTTAGCTCTACACTCAGCTGTGACTCACACAATCTGGATATTATTGTCATCAGCTCATTCACCCACCCCAACCCAGCTACGGTTCCAAACCAAAAAGTCTTTCGCAGCCAACGGGTTTGAGGCAGTTCATCCAGAAGGGGCGCTCAGGGCCCGAGACACATGATCCAGGGACTAGTGGGAAACTCTGCCAAACAGGGGAATAGACAGGGCGTTCCTGCTGCTTGAGCGAGGTTTCGATTTCGGTAAGCATTGATGCAGTCATGTTTCTGAAGACCCCGCAAAGTGGCTTTCTGTTTACCCAACTGGCAAGCATGGATTGGCTTTGCATATACTGTTGTCCTTGTATCAGAGAGGCACATGATGGATGCAAAGCCCGCCCATCTGATGTACCAATAGGGGCTACGATGCGCCTACCATTTGTTCTCCGTGGAAAGATGGTGAACCCTCTACGAAACCCACTCTTCAAAGCAGCGCCAATGAGAACGGAAGGGCCCCAATCCTTGGACTCGCTATGTCCGAGTTCACAGATCGGCCTCCTTGATGCCTGCCGTGCCCAAACCCACCAGCGAAAATTCCGCGGCACGCGCGCAGGTGAAGAGCGCCAAGGCAAGCATGGCAAACATGGCCCGCAGCCCGGGCAAATTGGATCTGATCAGGCCAGGCAGCCAATGCGAGGTTACTGGTCGCCATTTCGAGTGGCTGGCAGAATTACTTGCTTGGTCAAACCGTTCGCCGAAAAGTTACACTTTTGCTGCCTTTGTTAGTGAACCAAACCACAACAGAATCTTATGATCTCGGTCATGTCCCACAGCATCTTGCGAGACCGAATCTGGTGCCTGATTGGCAGGCTGCATGTGAGGCGACTTGTGTTGAGCCATCGGCTTCCTCACAGATGTTGAGCCTGCGTGGCTGTATTCCTGCACCGCATTCCGGTTCAGCGGCGGGAAACACCGACAACACCAACAGCAAAAGCACTACCAACACCAAGAAACACCGATACCAATACCAACACTGCCTCCCGCAGGACCAGAACACCAAGCACAAGCGGGGTCAGGGGAAAAAACGACTTCGAGGGAAGCTCATTTGATACCCTCCCTTCGTGAGCTCGGTATTTCCCGCTCTGGGAGCAGAGCCTGAGGTTGGAGGGTAAAAGAAATGCTTCGGAAGGAGCACGGGGATCCAGTTTTGCCTAAGTGGGGCTTAGCCCACGAGGGACCAAGAATTTCGCATGCCGCATGCCTGTTACAGGTCCAGTGGAAAATCGAGTCATTTCGCAGTGAGAATCGGGAGGGCTAAGGAGACCCCCAATACAAATGGGATGCATTCAAACTAGGACCCTTTTTTGGATAGTATTAAATGGACACCGACAGGAAACCGACCGCTTTAGGGGAATGGCGCGATAGGTTGCATTTCAGCCTTTTGGCGAAGATTTGCTCTGAACCAGTGGCAATCGAGGGTGAAACGAAAAGAGGCAGTCCGTCTCTAGCTCAGGCTTCTGATTCCAGTCGCTTCCTGTGGCAAAAGGCGTCAACTTGTCAAACATCACGACCGTGACGACCCTCTAAGGGGGAAAGGCACCCGACAACCTCCAGGAAAGGTTCTTTCTTTGTGTTGCAAGAACTCGGAAATCTATCCGAGGGGGGAGGCAGGTGGGCCCGAGTGGCTCCAGCTTTTGCCGCTCTATGCTACAAGGCCGATTTTGCCGTGCACTATGGCACTTAGATAAGCTTCGCAAGTCTGGCAATGATAGGGGGAGTACATTGAGATCGCTGCAGCCTCTTTTGCAGCCAATGCTACCTCCTCACGCCTGCTCCTTTCAATCCTGCGTTAGTGATTTTCAATTTTCAACCTTTCCCCGGGCGATGTGTGTGTGTGTGTGTGTGCGCATGTGTGTGTGGTTTTGCAAATGAAGCTATCGATCGCAACTGGATCTGCTTTCTCTTGTCTTTGTTTCACATCACCCTGGAGGGGGGTGGGTTCCATTTGTCTTGCATTCCCGTTGGGGATGGAACCATGACTGGAGATCTCCAGGGGTCACCCCCCTGCCCCAATTCCACTTTTAGGAGGGTGGGGATATCTTCCAGGAAGAAGCAATGGAAAGGACTCCTGCCTGTCGTCCAGCAGCATCCTGTGCTTACCCACAAGCATCTGGCAGCGCAGGCCCACCTCCCGCAGACTATCAGCAAGGAGCCTCGGGCAGTTGGCAAGTGGCTTGTAGTGATAGATGTTTACGTTTACATATATGAGCAGATGTATGCACGTTTATTTGCATGTATGAATGAACCAATGGATGAATGAAATGAAATGAACATGAACATGAACATGACATGAAATGACATGAACATGAACATGAACATGACATGAAATGAACATGAAATAAATAAATGAATGAATGAATGAATGAATGAATGAATGAATGAATCAATTAATGAATTAATGAAATAATGAATCAATGAATAAATGAACAAACGAACGAAGGCATGTGCCTGTCGATCGGTCGGTCTGTCTGTCTGGATCCATGTCATGTATGTATGTATGTATGAATGTATGTCTGCACGTATGAATGCACTCATGTATGTATGTATGTATGTTTGTACGTATTCAAGCACGTGTTCATGTAGTGTGACGTATGTAAGGTTATTTGCCGTATGCAATCTATGTAGTATCCGTCAGGCATGTAAGGTATGTACTGTATGTAATGTATGTGATGCATGCAATGTATCCCGTGCATGAAATACATGCAATGTGCTTGCTTCTAATGTTGTGCAATGTAATGTTACGTAAGGCAATGCAATGCAATGGAGTGTAAGGTAAGGTAAGGTAGGTATGGAAAGGTAGTGTAATGTAGTTGTGTACTGTACTGTAATGTAATGTAATGCATGGTATTGTAAAACAAGGTAATTACGTAATGCAATGCAATGCGACGCAAGCTGATGTGATGTAGTCTACGTAATGTATTGTATGCATGCATGTATGCTACGTACAACCGTTTGCCGTATGCCAGTACGATCCGTACACACGCGAGTAAGGTATGTAATATCTGTAATGTATGTCGCGTATACCATGTCTGCAATGTCTGCAATATGTCTGTAAGGTGTGTCATGTATGTAATGCATGTGTGTGTAATGCGACTCGATGTATGTAAGGCAATGTAATGAAGTGATTTGGAATGAACTACACAATATATGTGTGTTCGATTATGTGCGCACACATGTTAAGATGCTTCATTGACATTCATTGGACAAGAACCCGCTTTTCACAATCTGTTACGATCATATTCCTTTTCTGGACGCCTTGATTTGTTCAATAATTTCTGGGTCTGGCATAAATGTTGGCCCCTACCTTTGGCAAGTGGCAAACAAGCCGAGGGGGGGCGGGGGGGGGGGGCGGGGCCATCCGCAAAACCCGTTCCGCCTTTGGCACTTGCGGACAAATGCTTGCGAAAGGCGGTCCCATTATGAAGCGATACCTCATGTTGCAGGGTGCGCTGCGTTCAAGGCCTCCACTGATGCAACTTTCAGTTTAAACAAAAAACACATTTCTTTTTACACGTTTAAACAGGGGGGGTTGGCTCCACCCCATCGGAACCCCTCGTCTAAGCTGTTGAAAGGACACAGCGGGGACCCGTCTTAGGAGAAACCTGGGATAGGACACCATCGACAACCAACAAGTGAGCAGCGCCCATTCATTGACCCAACATGGTTAACAAAGTTTTATAGGCCTTATTATAGCTGCGCTCAAGTGGCTCCGCGAGGATTTCCACCCCCAGACCGCTAGCCTCGAGGGAAATCGGAGACTTGCCTTTTGGCTACAAAGTGGCTTTGCTATGCCCCCCCCTTGGAAATGGTTGTCAGGAACCGCCCTATGGCAAAGTGGCAATCCCATCTCTACGATATGGGTGTTCCCGCGTGGTTTTCCTCTGCGTTCCCTTTGGGCTGCAAGCCCTCAAACAGCCTCCCTCAACAAATACAACAAATAGCTTGGAAGCAAAACCAAATCATGTCTACGTCAGTGGGTGCATGTTGAGCATTTGTTACGAGATTGTTTGGGTCGGCCTTTGAACTCAACCAACGGGATTTGGGCATGTCTCAAAATCCGGGAACCATCCAGATGCGTAGTTTCCTGTTGGTCTCTCACACCAACGTGCAAAAGAGCCCCGCCAAAACCACAAGCACTTGGGGTTGGCCATTTTCGGTGCCCACTGGAAGCCTCCAAGAAGTATGGCTTGGTGCAAACACTATACCAGCACCCCAGAGTGGACATGGGAATGGGGCTCCAGCCTCTGTTTGCTGCTATTTTGCAACTAATGTTGACCCCAGATTAATTAACCCCAGTGTATTGATATGGGAGTGTTTCCCTCGAAAGGTGATGAATCCTACTAAACCCAGGAACACCCCCTTTTAATAAACTGGGGTGTATTAATCCAGGGTCAACATGGCTTGCCTCTTAAGGATTTCCCTTTCAACAGTTGATCGAGTTGCTGGTGGTGTCCAAAAGGAAATGAAATGGGGTTTCTGCCCAGAGAGGTTCTGGGGTGGTTTGGGTCGTATGTTTGCACTTACTTCATTCTAAACTTGGTGGTGGATCCACATAGTGTATATATATATATACACACTATAATATATATATATATATGCATATATATATATATATGCACTTGGTTGTATAAATGGCAACCCACTAAACCAGCTAAAACTAGGCAAAAACCCGAAGAATTCGGAGGATTCTTGGGAACCGCCAAGTCTAAGGAGCCTTTTCCCCTCAAGACCGGACCTTCCACCCGTTGTCGTCAAGGCGGCTGTGACTCGTTGCGCATGGCTTGGCTCCGCTCACCTTGGGCGGACTCCATGTACCTCCGTGCGTGTGAGGCGTGTGAAGCGTCCGAGGTCTCAACGGGGTTCTGCATGGGACGGTCTTTTTGACCAATAGCCAGCCAGTAGTTGGTTGATGAGGATGTGGTTGGATGGCCATGGGTTCGGCCATCGGATGCCATCCTAATCAACCATGGAACAGTCCTTTCGACTAATGGTTTGTTGCTTGATTTGAGGATGGTTGACTAGGATGGCCACCAAACCAACCAACATGTGACTTGGTTTTTTGGATGGCCCTGAAGATAGAAATGGGCTGTCTCTCTTTGAGGGTACCCGTTTTGAGTGGTCTTATAGGGAAACCAAAAGGAAAATCACCATTGGTATCCCCATTTAAAGAAACACACTCATACGGTTTGGGGGGTTCCTGGTTTTAACATACCCAAAGGCAAACCTACAGGTTGAGTGTTTCCCAAAATGGGATTCGGGGCATGTTCTGGCCAAGCCAACTTCCAAACACTATGCGCAAGTTTCTGTAAGTGAAGCAAGAACTCAAACGCATTGCCGACACCTACCCCGACTCAGATCCCAGTTACCATAGAAGGCAACCAGCCATTGTCAGGTGAACATGAACCAACGAAATAGAACCCAGTCGGGAAATCCGACGAACATTCACAAAACCTGCACTAAGAATGTAGTGGACCTACATGGTGAGCTTGTTTTACCCCTGAGTCGGTAAGATTCAGGTTTTACACAGGCAGCAAGAGTGCATCTCACTCACCCGTCTGGAAGGCAGCCAGTCCTTTGCTGCAGGGTGTTGCCCTTGGGTCGCTTTCGGACGAAATCCACTTCTCACCACGTGGAAACCAGGGTTGAAACCAGTGTTTGTTGGCATGTACAGGTGAGTCGTTCCAGGGTTTCTTGGGGCAGGATTTCGTCTATCCGCAGTACTACTCTTGGGCCCTTCACATTCAGGACTGTCTTGGTATCATTTTTGGCGGGTTTAAAGGGAAGCCAAAGGGAAACCGACGCCCACTTCGGGGTGGGGAGGAGTTCCCTTAGGTTCGTGTTCCCTCGGCAAAATGACACTCATGAATCAACCAAAAGTATTTTTGTGGAAAACGCAGCAAGCAGAAACAAACAGGGTTTGTCTTGAGGGACCCGCAACAATTGCAGTGTTCTGTGTGTTTCCCTTTGCAACCAGGAGGAAGGGGTCCTTGTATTTCACCTTGAAACGTAGAGAAACTCAGTCATGAGCCGAACGTGTTTAGGAGAAATCGAGTTGGACTGAGCAACTTTCCAGACCAATTTAAACCAAGGGCTCGGAGAGCTGCGTGATTGGAATCTCTTTGATTGGTGAGGTGGTTTGCATTTCCCTGCTATGCGAAAGTTCAATAGCCAGAATCATGTTGGTGGGTAAGGATTTGAACAACTTATTGCGCATTCCAATATGGCCGCTTTGACGGGCCATTACTACGGACATGTCATGGAACGAAAGGGGGGCACAAAGAACGATGATCCAACAAACAACATGATTTGGGGTTCCACGGTTCCACGTTGATCAGAAGATGGGAGTAAGGCGCCCATGATCCAAGCGCTAACAGAACCTACACAAGAATAACAGTTAATGGAGATGTAGAGTACTATGAAACCAAAGTTACCTCATGATCCGGGAAGAATCGGTTTGTACTTCTTTAGCCCTTTTTCTGGCTGACAAAAGGCTCTGCAACCCGCATGCCGGGCCTCATCTTCCGCTCCTGCTCGGCCAGCTGCTGGCGCAGTCGCTTCAGAGCAGCCTTGAGTGAGGCTGCGGTGTAAATTGCTCCCCTGAGTTACTACCGTCGTCATCATCACCACAATCACCACAATCACCACAATCATCACAATCATCACCACCATCTCCAAAGCCATCTTTATGTTTAACACCACCAGCACCAGCACCAGCACCAGCCTCATCCGCATCCTCATCCTCATCCTCCTGCTCCTCATCATCATCTCAATCATCGCAATCATCAGCATCATCATCATCATCATCATCATCATCATCATCATCATCATCTCAATCATCTCAATCATCTCAATCATTGCAACCCTGCCCATCATCCCATCATCATCATCGTCATCACCATCATCCTCTTCTTCATCATTACCATCACCTCAATCATTGCAATCATCACAATCATGACCATCCTCCCATCATCATCATCACCACCACCACCACCACCACCACCACCACCACCACCACCACCATCACCATCACCATCACCATCACCATCATCATCATCACCACCATCATCATCTGGGTGAATTAGAATGTTTCACCAACCTGAAATGAGGTGGTTGGGGGGGGCTATTCTCCACATAAACCACCATTTCGGGTGAGGTCGTGTGAGGTCGTGTGAGGTCGTTATAATTCACCCAGATCATCATCATCACCACCATCATCATCATCTCAATCATCGCAATCATGACCATCATCCCATCATCATCATCATCATCACCACCATCATCACCATCACAATCATGGATCATCATCAGCAGATTGCAGCAGTTGCGAGCTTTGCAATGCCATCACCGGCGCCTTGTTGCTCTTGGCAATCACGGGCGGCGGCTCCGGAGCGTCCCCCTGGCCACAGGAAGCATACCCCGCATCAAGGAAACATCAGCCCCCTGAAGGAAGCCCACCTTAAATGCCACAAAAGGGACAGGGAGCCCTGTGCCGACTAGCGTGGAACCCAGCAGAGGGTCCCGAAGAAAGCCAATGGCCAAAGTTCATCATAAGTAGTGGGAGGCCAGCGGCAAGTTTGCATCCCGGGAATTGGTTATGTAATGCACCTGCTTACATGTAAGAGTGCTGAACGCGCACACACACACACAAACACCCAAACACAAGCACGCACGCACAAACACCCAAACACAAGCGGACGCACAAACAAACAATCAAACAATCAAACAAACAAACAAACAAACAAACAAACAAACAAACACGCAAACACGCAACACACACACACACAACCACGAACGTACACGAATACACAAGAACAAAACCCACACACACACACAAGCACAAAACCACACCAACACCCACACACACACACACACAACTCGTTCACGCACTCACACACACACAAAGGACAGGACAAGGACAGGACAGGCAAACAGAGAGACAGACAACCAGGCAAGCAGGACAGGACAGGAGAGGAAAGGACACACACACAAAAAGAGACACACAAACACAAAGAGAAAGAGATGCAAACATGCCAGCCTGGTGCAGCTGCATCAGGCACTGCTCTGCAATGGGCTTGGCCTGGACAGTTTGCTGTATCGAGGAAGCACTGCCTGTGACGCAAGATTTCAAGGCGAGCTTGTTGCATGAAAGTGACATCCTAGGTCAAAGGGGCAGCTTGTGCAGAGATGCTCTTAGAAAGTTGCAGCCTGGCTTCCAATCCCAGGTTGGTGAGGTGGCTGTAGCTCTCTATCGCCATCAAGCAACTGCAAATGACAACACCCTCTCCCAACCAACTAAGCAACACAAAGTCAAAAGCAACACACCAAGCAACAACCAAAGCAAGCATATCAAAAGAGCCGTCCTTGCTCTTTTGCGGGCTACGCCACAAAACCATCCTCTTTGGAGGAACCAGAGCTTTAAATTTTTGGGTTCCTCACCATCTGCCGGTGCTATGGTGGGGGGCAGCAAACGCTCTTGGAATACGCCTGGAAGGTATTCGATTTTTCTTTTCCTCTCTCTCTCTCAGCTGTGCCATCCCTGAGGTCCAAATACCGCGATTTTGGACTGCGCTGGCGCAGAAAGGCGCAAAGAACGCATTTCCGTCAGCCCAGTGTCGGAAAACATGACACCCTCTGCTGATGTAAACAAAGCCCCCTCCCCGAAAAAGCGATGGAACACGTAGAAACCAAAAACAAAAAACACCTTCCCCGAACATTCGACGGAGCATGAAAGGACTTTTTTTGGAAAAAAAAAAAAAACGGAGCACGTGCGCCACTGAAAGCCTCCACCTGCTCCGAGCCTGTTCCGAGCCCTCGGTGTCTCGTGCCTCCGCTTCCAGGCCAGTGCCCTTGGCCGCCTTCACCGCCGCCAGCTCCGCGGCTTCCTGCATGGCCAGCGGCGTAGCGCCTGGCAACGGAAGCGAAGGACCACCAGCCTACCCCTGAAAACTCCAACTGCGCCCTGAAGAAGTTCTCATCTTTTACAGACATATAGCCCAGGTCACCCAAAAAGTTAGGAAACGTGGTGTTTTTAAGAGGTAAGCAGGGGGAAAGGGGGGTGGGAAGGGGGGGGTGGGGAGGGAGAGGGGGAGGGGGGGGAGGGGCGGGGGTGGGGGGAGGGGAAAAAATGGTAAAAGTAGGGGGCCTGGGGGGTGGTCTGTTGATGGTCCCCTGTTATGGTTTTTATGTTCATCTCAAATCTGTGTTCCCCCTTGTTCGTTTTGAAAAGAGGGTTTTTAGGGAGCTTATTTATCGTTTTCGTTAAGGTAATCATTTTGGTAATTGCCCCCCTTGTTCATTGTTGGGCTGGGGGCCGACATTTTTTTCATTTGAAAGAGTTAACCCTTTTAGTAGTTATCAAGTTCTGAGGTGTTGGTGGTGTATTTGGTATTGCGTTCGTGCGTCCCATAATTCGGTCGTTTCCCCCGCGCCACGACTTCATTGTGCTCTTCTTTGTTTGTTCTTTGCCCGGGCACTCAGACGGAGAGACATAGTCAGTTTTTCTTGTATCTTCAAGGTTGAGAATGACAAATGAAAGGATTGATGGTATGTGCTTCGTTGAGACAATGACATTGGGTCTTGACGTTTGGCACTGTCATTTGACATTTGATGGCGACGCTGCATTTTTCAATCAGTGAGTTGAGAACGCTCTCGTGAGCAAAGCCCTTTCACTCTCCTACTTTCGTGTTCTCCTGCCACTCATGGCACCCAAGCAGTCGGGTTACGCTGGACAACCAAGCGAGGAGGAACTTAACGACCGAGCCCTTGCCGAAGCGGTGATGGATGAGGAGGAACAGAACAACCTTGCCATCTCCGAAACCATTGCCAAGGACGTGGAAGATGAGGAAAGCGAGTCCGAGTCGGAGTGCGACGAGGATGTGATGGTTGACCCTGCCCTGTTGTCCAACGAGGTGGACGTGGTGACCTTGACCCAAGCGATGGAGGGCATGAGTCTCAACGAACTGAACAATCTGATGAAGCAGTGGGAGGCGAAGACCATTCCGTTGAAGAACGCTCTCGACGAGGTGCAGAAGAGGATGCTGGCGATTAAGGAGAAGAAGGGACCTTTGGAGTCCAAAGCCCGTGCGATTGCCAGGAATGCGGCGAATAAGGCAAAAAAGGCTGCTAAGTCCAAGGCGAAGGCAGTGGACAAGGTTGAACCCATCACAATCATCATTCAATACCAGGGACAGAACTATTCCATCACAATCACGAAGTATGACAAGTTGAAGCAGGTCCGTGCCGAGTTGTTGAGGAACCACCGTGGCACCTTCAAGACAGAGAAGTTCCTGAAGACTTTGGAGTTTCGCTTTGACGGACTGCTCTTGAACAACATTGGCAACGGCAGGACTGAGCTCGGCAGTTTGGGTGTTGTCAACGGGAGTGTCATTGTTGCTTCGCTTCCGCAGCAGGGCAACAGCAACAACGGTGACGGTGGCAACGACAAGAAGGTCACCAACAAGGGCACCGCCTCGTCCTCATCATCCTCCAAGTGATTGAGTGACCAATGAGGACACAATTCGGATTTGTCAAGTTTAGAGCATCGGTCTTTTCTCCTTGTGTGTAGTGCTCGGAACGCTTGATGTGGCAATGCTGGACAGTGAAAACGAACGATATTCAAGCATTGTTTGACTGTGTGAGACACTTCAAGCAAGGAAGCAAGGTAATGAGTTGAACCTACCCCTTACTCCTTGTTCACTCTCAGACTTTGGTTCAACCAGCGAGTAGTGTTTTCTTTCGTTGCCATGCTCCGCTTTTTCTTGGTGGGTCTGTTTGAGAAGACGAGGGAGTTGTTCAACGCCGTCATGGTCAAGTTGCTTCATCGTAGTCCCGCTCGTGATGAATTGGAGGTGTATGCGGTGAATTTTCAAGAGTTCCTGAGGGAGAACCGACACCTACTAGAAGACTATGATGAGGACACAATGCATTCCACCAGAGACCACTACAACGATGACAGCGATGACGTTGACCCAGACATGATTGGACTCTTTGATTGACCAAGCACCATGGACACACTCGCTGGACAGAAAAGAATAGTCATTTCCGTTTTGTGCTCATTTGAAGTCATGTGCTGAGACAGGGTCAGACAAGCACTTGAGACACCTACTGTTTTGAGACGTGTTGAGCATATTGTATTGTTCATATTTGCATCGTCTCTCTCAAGCGGTGAATGTTCCCTTTCTAGTCGTTGCCTTGCCTCTCCGAACAATGACGTCGTCAAAGGACATAGAGGAACTTGACAAGGAGATGAGCAAAATGACGGTCTCAAAGAGACCGACTGGTGATGACCACTGGACTCGGAAGGTAAAGATGACCATAGAATCCCTTCAAGCGGAGAACGTCCTGCTGAAAAGCGAGAACGCTCGGTTGCTGAACGCCTTGCGTGGTGCTGACGGTGGAGATGGAGGAGACGACGGTGATGAAGACGGCGACGGCGACGGCAATGGTGATGGCGACGATGATGATGATGACGGTTCTCCACCATCGTTGTCTACAAGTGACGAGGAACGCTTCAACATCACAGTCCAGTACCTATCAAACACCCTGTTGACCTTGGAGGTTGACGGGGACTACATCGTGGACAACGTCAAGGTGCTGATTGCGGACAAGGAGGGCATCCCGCGGAAGCACCAGAAATTGACCTTCAACTCCCTCGTTTTAGATGAGCACCTAACCCTTACCGAGTGCGATGTGGTGGACGGTTCCCAGTTGGTGTTGTCCATCCGTGGGACTGGCGGGGCACCGAAGAAGAGGAAGGCATCTTCAAACATCAACCCCTTCAGTGAGGATGAGGCAACGTTCCCGACTGCCACGGACACTGCCCTGTTTCAGGAAGCATTCACTAGTTCCATTCAGATGGCAGCCCTCAACAAAGACCAGATTGACCTGAAGACAATCTTCACCTCTTGCGATGGGACTTCCTTGGATTTCATCTTGAGCAAACTCACCACTGGGAGGGCACACCACACCGTCAAGATTGAGAGCATCGTTGAGAGCATCCCCTTTGTCCAGTCAGTGAAGCAGGTTAGCAAAATGCTTGAGAACAGTTATGAAAAATATAAGCGATTGATGTCTTCCAAACTTTGGGATTTGGGATGTGTGGATGGCGCTTTCAAAATGGAATCTCTGACGTCCTTCATCAATGGCGTTCGTGCTCTGAAGTGAGCAACACATAACTGTGCTGGAATGGGTGGAAAAGGTCTTGATTTGCGTTGTCTAGGTCAGACCAGTTGAGGGAACCCTCATAAGGGATGAGAACCTCCTCATAAGGGATGAGACCCCCCTCATAAGGATGAGACCCCCCTCATACGAAAACCCCTGAAAATAGGTGGGGATTTGCTTTTGGATGAGGTTACCCTCATCAGGTATGAGGTTCCCCTCATCAGGTATGAGGTTCCCCTCATCAGGTATGAGGTTCCCCTCATCAGGTATGAGGTTTCACACATCCATTCCTCTCTTAGTCCCCGCACCCTTCGCGCGTTTGAGGTTGTGAAGTCATCCTGCTCTTTGCCTACGACGCTACCATCTTCTAGGTACTGGGATGAGGTGGGGTCGTCCTTGTTCCCCTTTTGAGGGTCGTCTTAAAACAAACTAACAAACCCACATCAAACTGTTTGTAGTCCCAACTCAAAATATCAGTATTCATATTTGCATTTTTCAAATCAAGGGAAATAACACTAAAACCCAAATCCCGAGCAACCCTACCAACCCTACCGACCCCGCATCCATCCCGCTTGTCAGAAGGTCCGACCTCATTCACATCTTAGGCAGGTTTCTCGGGTATGGGATAATAACAATCCTAATAAAACCATATACAAACCAGTATAAATACAAAAAAAAACTATAAAACAAGGCGAAACTCTCGCGATTTTTTTATTTTGAGGTCTCTCACAAACTCATTTGTTTGTAAATGTTCGGTGATTTGGTCCTTTCCTTGTTTTTCAAAACCCTTGTTTTTCCCCATGAAATCCATCAAATTTAAAAAACATAACGAAACATAAAATCACAAAAACGGAGTTGAGAAAATCAAGAACTTTCAAATTTGCGACCAAACCTGAGAGCCCGAACCTGTCCCTGAAAATAATTCTAATAATTTCATATTAGTAGAACTATTTAGATAATTATTTTATGGAGTAATGTCGCGAAGCTCATTAGGCTATTACTTTGTAATAGCGTAATGTCGCAAAGCTCATTAGAGCATTTCATCCTGAAATGCTGTAATGTCCATAAGGCAATGAAGTGAAAGCATCAATATAAAACCTTTTATTTTCATAATTACTGAGAGATTGCTTTACTTGAGACATTGAATATATTTGATGTGACTTACTTCTGATGAAGTTATATGTGATTTCATGCTTTTTGTTTTGAAATAATGCTTCGTGGTAGTTCTGATACGACAGTTCTTTTTTCACTTTGTGTTTCACTACACCTTTTGATTTCTTATGTTCATCATCAACCTCACCATGAATTGTGAAGGCGTAAGATTTAGGTTTCAATCCGATGAATTTAGTAATGATTTTTCCATTCACTTCGTCCTTAAACATTCCTAAGACCTTTTTATTAGTTTTGTCATGACATGGATGCTCAACAGGATAGTCGCTAAAATCCATGTGTTGCTTTATATCATTGAAATCCTTATAGACATCATCAGTCATTGTTTGAATTACATAACTGTCAGTATCAGTATATATCAATTTGATGTTTTCATTATACTTCTTTTTCAATACATCATAATAAAACTGATACATATGTAATTTGCTTAAATCTAAAATGCTCATTCCTAAGAAAATCGGTTTATCCAGTTTCAGTTTCGCTTTAGTTTTCTCAACTCCGACGAGATTTTCATTAATAATAAATCTATTTTTGAAAGTTGGATTATTAACGCATTTTTCATATCTTACCTCATTA